TGCGCTCTGTTGCCGCCTTTCGCGCATCAAGCACTGATGCAAGCCGATTCAGTTTCTCCTGCCGTGTACTTGGACGCTCAGCCCTCATCCGCCGATGTTTGGGGACAAGCAGTCAGCGCCATCAAGGACTGCTATGTGAATGACTCCCCTCCTTGGGCTTCAAGCCTTCAGGTAACAGTTTCCCAGTTGTCTCGGTTGCCTAAACTAGCTGACCGTATTTTGGTTCTTGACTGTTTAGGCCATTTTCCCTTAGGGCCTATACAGTATATTGATGACACCACGATGCCGTGTCCCAGTGTGGGGGCTCTTGCCGCAGTCATCGGAGATAACCAGACCTCAGCAGTTGAGACGTTTGCAACGTCATCCGGAAGCAGGATAAATCGCAAACCTGGCAAGACTACAGTCATGGCAATGTACGGCAGCCCGCCGCCTTCCTTTGACGTAGTGGGTTGTGATGTTTCTTCGGCACATAGCTGCTTGGGATTCCTTCTGGATGACCAACTCACCATGGAGCCCATGCTACAGGCAGTGGTTGCCCACGCAAACAGCGCTCTTTCGGAATTCTGTGCTGCAGCTTCTTGCGCCGGTGTTCCTCTCCCGGTCATTGCAGACGAGGTTCCGTCCCGCATTGAGTCCATTATCACGTATCGAGCCCCTTTTTTGGTTTTAGCTTCTGGTTTTGAGTCTGTTTTGAATTCTGTTCAACATAAATGGGCATTGATGATCTTGGGTTGTAGTCCTTGCACTAGTGTGAGAAGCGCTTTGCCCTGTACACAACTGGGCTGGACAGCGCGTCTTGGATCTCGTGTCTTGGATTTTGCCATTACGACACTTGCCAGAATGCAGTGTCTGCCGGAGGACCATCCTGCAGCTGTCATGCTGCAAGCTGCTACTCAGGTGACTCTGCCAACATGGGTTTCTGTGATCTGCCAACACATGGAACGATTGCGTCCCTTTGGATGGATTTGGCCAATCACAGAGCATCCAGCCTTCGCACCATCGGTGTTGATAGCCAAGCGCGATCCCGCGTTTCGAAAGCAGCTTGTCCGGCAGTATAGGAGGCAGGTGGTCTCGCCAATACTGCAAGCTTATGATGAGCGTTGGCGTAGCATGCAGCTACAGTCCCATTGTGAGGGGTTTGGCCTCAGTTTCGCGCAACTTCCGTTGCAAGCGGGCGCTTTGCCTTGGACCCTCGCTATGGTGGATCTGGGGCCACGCACATTATACTCAGTAAGGACTTGGTTGTGGATTCGATGTTCTGGCCGGTGGCCCCCCTCACAAGAAGAGCCCACTGGCCCCACTTTGCGGGACTTTTGTCCTTGGTGCGGCAGTGCGCTTGTTCCTGTTCTGCACACTCTGTGCGAGTGCGAGGGAACAGCTCAAGGTAGGGAGGCTCTCCTGGCAACGCACAGGCCTCTAGATTCAGCACAGGACATCATTCAGTTTCTCTTTGACCTCAACGCTGCTCTCCACACTCTCCAGGCATGTATATTTTATGTTAACGAGGCGCTCGTTAACTTTCCTCGTAGTCCGGAAGCCGAAGGCTTGTGAAAGATCAAGCTCTTACGTGCTATCCGTTCTCTCGCTTCCCCATTGCTTGGTGGAGCGCCTCAAAGACTGAAATGCTGAAATGCTGAAATGCTAAACCCCAAACCCCAAACCCCAAACTCCAAACCCCAAACCCCAAACCCCAAACCCCAAACCCCAAACCCCAAACCCCAAACCCCAAACCCTGAACCAAACCCTACAACTCGGCCTCTTCCGGCCTGGTCATGGCCTTCTGGCTTGCTCGGCTCTCTTCCCGCCCTCCGCTGTCTGCACAGTCTGCAGGACTTGCGACTCTTCCGCGTGCTTGACCAAGCACAGGTATGACAAGCTGTTGCTTGGTAGCTTAGTGGTACCCCTTTTGTTTTTTCTTGGTTCAAGGTTCCCTTCTAAAGTAACCAACCCAAAAAAGGGTGCCCTTATTGGAATATGGTTTTAGTGGTTCCCTTCTAAAGTAACCAACCCAAAAGAGGGTGCCCTTATTGGAATATGGTTTTAGTGGGCTACCAAGGTTGAGTGCCACATCCCGACAGGCAGGGGGAGTGTGTGGGGCTTGCGGGCCTTTTTCCAGCTGTGCTGGGTTTGGGAGAGCACGGGCCTTCCTTCAAGGCCGCTAGTACATGACGGTATCGATACGTCTAGGGGTTTTAATCTAGAGGGTCGATGACGAAACTCCTCATGAGAAGGACCACCACATGGATCTGCAGTCAATGTATGCCTTACTTCTCTTTATGATCGCTAGCCATGCCCATACGCCCTCTAAATCCTATGCCCTAAGCCCTGGGCGCCATTCTAGTAGACTTGCTGCATGGCAGGTGCTGAACGCCTCGCAAAACGAGATGGCACCCCTCTTAGCCTCGGTTTCACCTTCGCGGGATATGCGGCTTAGGGGGGTTGAGGGTTAGGTTCTTGGGATTGTTCATGTGTTTTGTGTTGCTTCGTTTTCGTTCTTGGAGGGGGGGCATGGGTGAGTGGGTGGGGCTACACCTAATATTGCGTAGTAATTAACTCGAATACATACACAGAAAGGAAAATGTACACATATAGACATATGTATATATATATATATAGATCATTGTGTCTGGGGATTTGCAGATCTGGAATGCCCGCCCCGGGGCCCACACCACCAGCAAGAAGCCGAGCCCTTCCTTGTGCGTACCTTGATATTCCCTTTGTTTAGGGCTTTAACCCCAAAAACCGAAACCCTCAACCCTAAACCCTAGACCTTTATAGGCACCTAAAATATTTTGAATATAAACCCTAAACCCTAAACCCTAAACCCTAAACCCTAAACCCTAAACAACCAAACAACCCTAAACCCCAACCCCCCTTTGTGTAGGATTTGTAGGGCTTGTAGCTACTTTGCGACCTCCACCGGCTGGCTGGGGTTCCTTTACTGCAGCGGCTCCAACCTGACAGGGTTTAGGGTTTAGGGTTTAGGGTTCAGGGTTTAGGGTTTAGGGTTTAGGGTTTAGGGGGTTTCAGATCTGCGTATAGGAGTCCTCGATATTGAGGGAAATATAGCAGGAATTCAAGCACGTACCTCGTTGTTTCAGGGTATGAAGAGTACTCTAGGGTATCGTCTCCTTTGGGGGGACTTATGTTGTGCTGCTTTTTGTAGAGAACTGAAAGGGAGGGTTTTGGAACCAGAATTCTTGGTGGTTACAGAGGAAGGGGGGGGGGGTCTGTCTTTAGAGTTGTTTATGCAATCCTGCACGAGTCTCTGCACATCTGGCCGCATCTGTTGATGGTAGAGCTTCTGCCAATCTCAAACATAGAAAGCAGCATGGTCGTTCCAGTTCGACTCCGAACCCTTACATTACACGCTCATCATGCCGCACCATCGTCCTCAAGGTGCCCAGTGTCCAGTGTATTGTGCATCCGGGAACGGTTTTGGGGCTGGGGATTCGGGTATCCTCCGAGTTCGGCCATGGTGCTGCCTTCGGCAAGCTGGCAGCAATCAGCGGCACAGGAGTAGCTTCCAGTTGAAGCATTCAAGCATCTTCTTCCGACCATTCCTTATAACTTCTACGAACGGGTCACGTTTTGAGGCTCCATCTTGGGTTGCCGAGGTGTTTGTTGTTTTCATGTTTGCCTAATGCGCTGGTGCTGCCGTCCTTAGATTCCGGTGATCAAGGAGGCGAGGAGCATGGTTGGCTTACCTGTCTACAACCCCGGATAGCTCTCCACCCAAAAAAAAGCTGGCTTTCCTGCCGCTCTCTGCATGTCAGTGCTCTCAGAGGGTTTACGCGGCTTAGTTTAGTGCTCATGGTTTAGGATCTCTTCGTTTGAAAGCTTGGAGGCTTGCAGCGACGGCACTCGCCGTTCCCCACACCATAAAGCATAGCGGCGCACGAAGAAGCCACAAGCACAATCTACCCCTAAACTCTAAACCCTAAACCCCAAACCCTAAACCCTAAACCCTAAACCCTAAACCCTGGCTCCCTAGATCCGACAGAGGGCGACTCCATGCTTAGCACTCTAAGGGCGTGAGCTTGCGCTCTACCCTAGCAGACCAGACATGCTTAGGGTTTAGGGTTTTAGGGTTTAGGGTTTAGGGTTTAGGGTTTAGGGTTTAGGGTTTAGGGTTTAGGGTTTGGGGTTTGGGGTTTGGGGTTTGGGGTTTGGGGTTTGGGGTTTAGGGTCCCTCAACTCCAAACCCCCTGCTACCTAAAGAACCCTTCCAAAGACTCCTATAAGGGGTTTCTAAGCAGAACGCACAAAACAAGTAGGTTTTAGGTCCTTAAGGTACAAAACCCTAAACCCTAAACCCTAAACCCTAAACCCTATAAACCCTATAAACCCTATAAACCCTATAAACCCTATAAACCCTATAAACCCTATAAACCCTATAAACCCTATAAACCCTATAAACCCTAAGCCCTAAGCCCTAAACCCTAAACCCTAAACCCTAAACCCTAAACCAACTCAGCTTCCGAGGCATGGCTGGACCAGATGTTCTATCCCCTGGTGCTCTTGGTGTCCGCGCTGTGGCTGTCAGAGCTGGTGTCACAATGGAAAGCCTGCCAGCGGAGGAGGGTTCGGGTGTTTAGGGTTTAGGGTTTTAGGGCTTTAGGGTTTTAGGGTTTTAGGGGTTTCCGGGTTTAGGGTTTTAGGGTTTAGGGTTTCGGGTTTCGGGTTTAGGATCTTTGTTGGGCCCCAGCTTTGGGCATTGAGGGCTTTGGGGCTTGTTTTGTTTCCGCACGTGCATGCGTTCGTGCGCCCGTGTCTGCCTCTGCATCTGTGTGTCGGTGTGTCTGGGTGTCCGTCTATCTGTCTGTCTGTGTCTGTCTCTGTCTGTCTTTGTCCGTCTGTGACGTGTCCGTCCGTGTCTGTCCGTATCCATCCTTGTCTCTCTGTCTGTCTGTTTGCCTGTCTCTATGTGTGTATGTGTTCTCGTGCATCGGCATTGGTTTGGTTTTTGCTCTTGGCTGATCCTTTTAAGAGTTGTTCAGGGTGTGGGTGCTTACGGTGTCTCATGTCTCAGTGTCGCTGTATTGAGGGACATTTAGGGCTTTGACGCGCTTCTTCTTTCACACTGGCCGGATGCGCGTCGCAAGTTTGGGACCTTCATTGAGAAGCTCCGGACTAGCGTACGTAGAGTTTCCGGCGGGTTGGGGTGTTTTGGGGGGGAGGAGGGGAGTGGGGAGGGAGGGAGGAGGGCCGGGACACCTTAAGACCTTTCACACGCATCTATTCCACTATTTCAGGTACCAGATTTCCTGGTGTTGGGTAAGATTTTTGGGGGTTGCTCTAGGTCACCCTAAACCCTAAACCCTAAACCCTAAACCCTAAACCCTAAACCCTAAACCCGAAACAGGAAGCCTTCAGCTGCTGCTGGCAAGACTGGCAAGACGCGCCCTGAGCCCTCGGACGTGGCGTCGACGTCCGCAGGTGAGTCCAGGGTTTAGGGTTTAGGGTTTAGGGTTTAGGGTTTAGGGTTTAGGGTTTAGGGTTTAGGGTTTAGGGGTCTCCCTGCAAAGCCTTGGGAGGGGGAGGGTTGGGGGCTCTGTTAGGGTTTAGGCGGTTTAGGGTTTAGGGTTCAGGGTTTAGGGTTTAGGGTTTAGGGTTTAGGGTTTCGGGTTTCGGGTTTAGGGTTCGGGTTTGTGGTTGGTGGTTCAGGGTAGGTTGCCAAGGTTCAGGGCTTTTTGTGGCTCCGGGAGTTTTCAAGATTGAGCCCTTTGGCCTGGTTGAGGTTCAGACGTCTGTTGGAAGTAGGGTTTAGGGTTTAGGGTTTAGGGTTTAGGGTTTAGGGTTTAGGGTTTAGGGTTCCGGGTTTCGGGTTGCTCATGAGCTTCAGCGACAGGGCTGCCATATGTGACGAAGCTACATGCGGACTGAAGGTGTGGTGTCTTCACCCGAAACCCTAAACCCTAAACCCTAAACCTAACCCCTAAACCCTAAACCCCAAACCCTGAACCATAAACCCTGAACCCTGAACCCTGAACCCTACACCCCCTTTCCTGCCAATGTTTAGACTGAAGAGGTCCCTCGCCACACAGCGCCAGCTCGCCGACCTTCAGTGAGAGCTCCAAGGAGGAGGCATGAGCAAGAGTCTAAACACTAAGCCGGATAAACCCTGTTTAGGGTTCAGGGTTTAGGGATTAGGGTTTAGGGTTCAGGGTTTAGGGTTCAGGGTTTAGGGTTTAGGGTGTAAGGTTTAGGGTTTAGGGTGTAGGGCTTTGGTTTTAGGGTTTATTTATGGTTCAGGGTTTGGTTTCGGGTGCAAACCTTATGAACCTCTCCAAGCCCTCTAAAGCCCTGTGACACCCTATAAACCTCGTTAGCCCCGAAGCTCTGAGCCCTAAACCCTAGGAAAGCCGGAGGTTGCTCCGTACTGCCCCCCCGGGAGTCCATCCCAGCGGGGTTTAGGGTTTAGGGTTTAGGGTTTCGGGTTTAGGGTTTAGGCTTTGACGTGAGATGTGCAAATCTTCCCAGACACCATCCAGGACCGGGAGCAGGCCCTTATTTCATTTTTTTAGGGTTGGGGTTCCCTTATAATCCCCTGCAAACCAGAAAGGGTACCCTTTTTGGTTCCTAGGTGACTCCCGGGTCTAGCCGTACAGCATCCAAAGTGCCACTGTGCAGACTCAGCCCAGCACGTCGCAGTGGTGACGGGCCATAGCCGAGCAAACGGAAAACCACTCCTTCAACCAAGCACCCTGCACCAAGCCGCAAATGAACACACACACACACAAAACACAGCACAGCACAGCACAATGCAACACACCACACCATACCACAGCACAGCACAGCACAACACAACCCAACGCAACGCAACGCAACGCAACACAACACACAAAACAAACAAACAAACAAACAAACAAACAAACAAACAAACAAACAAACAAACAACAAACAAACAAACAAACAAACAAACAAACAAACAACAAACAAACAACAAACAAACAACAAACAAACAAACAACAAACAAACAAACACATGTGCATGTGTTGCGCCAAATAGGGAAACCAAACCCTAAACCCTAACCCTAAACCCTAAACCCTAAACCCTAAACCCTAAACCCTAAACCCTAAACCCTAAACCCTAAACCCTAAACCCCAATCCCCCCCCCCCCCCCCCCCTGTGTCACATCGTGGTAAATGGAAGGATGCTTGGGATGACTCCTCCAGCCTTTGCGCCCCTTCTTGGCACAGCGGAGGTGTGGGCTGAGGGTTTAGGGTTTAGGGTTTAGGGTTTAGGGTTTGAGGGTTTAAAGGGCTCATGCTGCTTTGTGCCGTGCTTGTTCAGAGGATTGCACTGACTGCAATGGCGCCCCGTGGTTTGCATGGTGCTACTGAGTTACGCCCTTGCGGTCTTAATCTCGAAGAAGTACTCAACATACCCCTTGGGCACACCCTTAAAACAAATTAAGGGCTGTGGCAAAATCCTTCGGCATATTCCTTTTTAGGTTTCGGAGTATGGATTTGGGGTATGTTGAAATACTCTTGGATAATTCGGGTGTTTGACCTCTAGCTCCCTTACTTTCCCTACTTTGGTGGACTTTGGGGGGGGGGTTGGCGAACTCTTGGTAACTCCTTTTCAAGTCCTATGGTAACTCCTTTCAAGTCCTAGAGCCACCGAGCCAGTCAGTCACCCTTGAAAAGTAGAATCCCTAAGAACTGAGCAAAGACAGGGGCCAGCTGAGTATCCTGGACCCTAAACCCTAAACCCGTTCCCCGAAACCCTACACCCTAAACCCTAAACCCTTGGTGACCCCCCAGGGTCCATCCCATGTACCACATCAGGCTGTTTGGGATGCCCCAAGAAGTAGGGACACGATCCCTTGGGTTTGCTAAGGCGTTTAGCGTTTAGACCCTCAGAACTCACCTCAAAACCTCAAGAAGCCCTGAAAACCTTCCAAAAACCCGCAAAGCCCTCAAATCCCTCAAAGCCCCTCAAAGCCCCTCAAAGCCCCTCAAAACCCTCAAATCCCCAACCCTAAACCCTTAAAAACCTTAAAACCATTAAAACCCCTAAACCCTAAACCCTAAACCCTAAACCCTAAACCCTAAACCCTAAACCCAAGGAACTGGGCCCATTTGCCTGGTGCTGGGCGGGGAGGCAGCCGGCGGCTCCGCCGCAGGCTAACCTCGACCTTTAGACAGGTTTAGGGTTTAGGGTTTAGGGTTTAGGGTTTAGGGTGTAGGGCTTAGGGCTTTACTCTTTGTAGGGAACGAGGGAATGAGGTTTACTGTATATAAGCTTTTAAACGGTAAGTATAGGGCCCTAATTCCCTCATTCCCTACTGAGAACCAGGGAGTTTAGACAGGTTTAGAGCTGTAGTGGTTTGGGGTTGAGGGTTTGGGGCTTACTTTAGAGTTTAGGATTTGGGGTTTATAGGGTTTAGGGGTTTAGGGTTTGGGGTTTAGGGTTTGGGGTTGTACGTTTCTTCCCACAGCGCTTGGACTTTGAGACCTAGTGCCTTCTTATTGTCTCTGCCCTAAACTCTCTTGGGTGATACGTTCTAGGATCCAGAGTAGGACCTGATTCCCTTTTTTGGGTTTGGTTCCCATTGCAAGCGCCCTTTAAGCCGAATGGGCACCCTTTGTATTCCCAGGTTACTCCTGACTCTGGTGTTAGTTTTTCTCTCAAGCCCAAGCGGATGTATAACAAACACAACTTTCATGGGGGTTCTGAAAGGTCAAGGCAGAACCGGGTTGAAGTTTGGTGGTGGGTGTAGAGTGTAGATGGGGCGTTCTTGTGGAGATGCCCGTAGTCAGAACCCTGCCTTCTGGGGTTTCGGGTTACAGGGCTCTCCACGTGATGTTGCGGCACAGAACGCACAGGAAGCGAACAAATGTTGCCCTTCATCCTAAATCTCAACCCTAAGTCCGAAACCCAAACCATCGGCACTATTCCTAGGATCTCAACGACGAGCTGCAGCGCACTGACCGGGAGATCATAGAGCGACTTGATACGCCTTGGGCACTCCGAGTTCAGGATTTGGGTTTGGGGTTTCGGGTGTGGGGTTTGGGGTTTTGGGTTTAGGGCTTGGGGTGTAGGGTTTTGGCTTTAGGGCTTGGGGTGTAGGGTTTTGGGTTTTTGGGAAGCGCCAAAAATTGTTGCCGCGAACCTACGGATCTAAGCCCGAAACGACCTTAAACTCCCCTTAAAGAGGCCTGCGGCCCATCAGCGTCGCCCTCATACTTGCGGGGTCACGGGTACATGTGAGTAGTAGAGTTGTAAGCAGGGCGTGTAACTACGTTTATAACCATATCTAGGGTACTTATACAAGTAGATACGGGAACCTTCTCGACGCACTCCTCTAAGCTGTCTCACCCCCTAATCAGGCAAAGCTTCTCTCGAGTTTCTTGGGTCCTGTGGCCTCTAACCCTAAACCCTAAACCCGAAACCCTAAACCCTAAACCCTAAACCCTAAACCCTAAACCCTAAACCCTAAACCCTAAACCCTCAAGGGATCACAACTCACGACCCCAAGCTTTACCACGGGCAGCAGAAAGACCGACTTGGCGGTTCATGGGTGTTAGGGTTTAGGGTTTAGGGTTTAGGGTTTAGGGTTTAGGGTTTAGGGTTTAGGGTTTAGGGTTTAGGGTTTAGGGTTTAGGGTTTAGGGTTTAGGGTTTAGGGTTTAGGGTTTAGGGTTTAGGGTTTAGGTGTTTAGGGGTTTAGGGGTTTAGGGTTTAGGGTTTAGGGTTTAGGGTTTAGGGTTTAGGGTTTAGGGTTTAGGGTTTAGGGTTTAGGGTTTTGGGGTTTGGGGTTTAGGGTTTAGGGTTTAGGGTTTAGGGGTAGCTGTATATTTGTCTATATATGTATATGTATATATCAATATGTATGTCTCTATATGTATGTCTATTTTATTGGGATAGAAGGAGGGTAGTATCACTAGTTTCAGGCTTATACTGTTTTGGGGGGTTGTTTCAACCCTGCCCGTGACGCTGTTGCCGTAAACCCTCAGTATACACCCTAAAACTCTGAACCCCCTTAACCCTAATCCCCAAACCCAAAAACCCTAAACCCCCAACCCAAAAACCCTAAACCCAAAACCCAGAAACCCTGAACCCAAAACCTTCGAGAAGACATCTTCGTATCGTGGCATGTGAGCCGAGGATGAAGTTCGGCTACCCCAGGCCCGGCTGATTCGCCATTTATAGAGGTTAGTGGGGGTGCGGGCCTAAACCCTCAACCCTCAACCCTCAACCCTAAACCCTTGGCTTCACGAACCCAGACACCATCTCCCGATAGCCCTTAAAGATCGGAAGCTGGGGTTTCAGTGGATCCTTGGCAGCTCAAACCCCAAGAGCCCCAAAGTTAGGGTTTAGGGTTTAGGGTTTAGGGTTTAGGGTTTAGGGTTTAGGGTTGAGGGTGTTCGCGGAATTGTCCAGCTCATACCAAGGGGCGGCCCGCGACACTACGAGCCATTGTGCCAGAAGTCCTAGAGGTCAAGAAGATTTCCTAAGCTTGGTCAGCTCACTTCATCCTACATGTACATGCCTAAAAACCAGATACTATAAACCCCAAAACCTAAACCCTAAACCCTAAACCCCAAACCCTAAACCCCAAACCCTAAACCCTAAGCTCTAAGCTCGGTACTGGCAGGAGTGAGATTTACAGTCTGGACTTCTATCCCATCAACGAGGACATCAAAGCGCTAGTCGAGGCGCCTCTGCGAATTCGACTCCGGGCTGGGCGTATTCGAGGGTTTGTTTAGGGTTTAGGGTTTAGGGTTTAGGGTTTAGGGTTTAGGGTTTAGGGTTTAGGGTTTAGGGTTTGGGGTTTAGGTCCACTAGATGGAAACCTGCTTGGCCGGAACTTCCCCCCAACAAAGCCCGATCCGCAGCTTGACTGAATCCCAAGCACAAGACCCTAAACCCTAGAACCCTACAAACACTAGAAAGCTAGGACCGGTAGTAGGCCCATTTTCCTTATTTTAGGGTTGGGGTTCCCTAATAATCCCCTAAAAAAAGGAGGACCCTTTTTTTCCTAGGTTATTCCCGTTATTCCAGGGTCTAGAAACCCTAGTAACCCTAGGCCCCCTTCTCTTTGGGGCTCTCGTTCTTATTCTGTCTCAGGCTTTCTGTGTGGGTTTTGGCCTCCTTGGCAAGCCCGCGAAAGAAAAGCAAGGCCCCTGCCTAAATGGACCCTGGAGTTGCTAAGGGGTTATAAGGCCGAAGGATCCTAGTCTTATATAAACCCTAATTAAACCCAAACCCGAAACCCTAAACCCTAAACCATACTGCACTCATTCCAGGATTGATAGAGACTGAGCAGCTCACCTCGGTATTCTCCCGCCCTGGACACGCCTTCTTCTTTCACGGGGGCTGAGCCTGAACCCTACGGAGTTTAGTTCAGGGCTTAGGATTTCGGAATGAGGATTTAAGAAGGGTTTACGGCCTTTCGAGGAACCGGGGACGCTGAGCCTCAACCCTAATTCCACCCTAAAGATTAAACCCTAAGGAGGAAGAACTGCACGTCTGACTTTGAGCTCGGCCAGCCGGGTTTAGGACCATTACTACCAATTGCTTAAGAACCCCCAAAAAAGACTAACATTTCTTCCTTATAAGGGTATTGCAGGGATTGTTATTTATCTTTTTTTTTGGAGGGGGGGGGGGGGGGGTTCTTAAGCAAATAGTAGACTATCAGAAATTCAGGGACTTCTGCCGCCGAAAAGGGTTTAGGGTTTGCCTGTTTAGGGCTTGCCCCCAAACCCTAAAACCTAAAATCCTGAAACCCTAAACCCTAAAACCCTAAACCCTAAAACCCTAAAAACCTAAACCCTAAACCCTAAAACCCTAAACCCCTAACCTCCTAAACCCCTAAACCCCTAAACCCCTAAACCCCAAAACCCTGAACCCTAAACCCTAAACCCCTAAACCCTAAACCCAACGGTGCGCAGCCGCAGGTTGCAGTGCGCGACGCGTCGAAGCGACAGGACCTGGGCCGGGATTTGGGTGTTTTTCTTTGGGTTTAGGGTTTAGGGTTTAGGGTTTAGGGTTTAGGGTTTAGGGTTTAGGGTTTGGGGTTTAGGCTTTAGGGTTTAGGCTTTAGGGTTTAGGGTTTAGGGTTTAGGCTTTAGGCTTTAGGCTTTAGGGTTTAGGGTTTAGGGTTAAGACTCGTACCCCTAAGGTTGTTCCCTCAACAGTTCCCCAGGGTCTAAGGTACGACCCCTAGAGTTTGGGGCTCGGGGGCCTGGATGTTCAATCTCATCCGGTATAGGGTTTAATTAGGGTTAGGGTTTAGGGTTTAGGGTTTAGGGTTTAGGGTTTAGGGTTTAGGGTTTAGGGTTTAGGGTTTAGGGTTTAGGGTTTAGGGTTTAGGGTTTAGGGTTTAGGGTTTAGGGTTTAGGGTACCCTTACTTCACATCAAACAGTGCCCATCTCTGGATCAGTGAGTTTGTAAGCTGGTCGGGGACGTGCCCGGTTCCCGCCTGTTGGTGACGGAAGTTGTATGGGTCAGGCAGGTCTTTTGTGTGCAATCAATGCCAATTTCTGCGTCTCAGCTTAAACGTTTCATGGAATACGCAGAACATGCGGATGAACCGACTGTTTTTGCTAGACGCGAAGCCCTAAACCCTAAACCGCCTGAACCCTAAAACCCTGCACCCTCAACGAAGGAAACAAAATTCTTCCAGTGCCCTTGCCCTTTCAAGAGCGTTCCAGGCTAGACTCTTTGGTTGTTTAGGGTTTAGGGTTCAGGGTTCAGGGTTCAGGGTTTAGGGTTTAGGGTTTAGGGTTTAGGGTTTAGGGTTTAGGGTTTAGGTCCTGAAGAGTGCACCTCATGCGAAAGTTCTCCAAGTAGGGTTTAGGGTTTAGGGCTTGTAGGTGACGAGATGTTTGAGGTTGGAGCTCTGACACCAATGCGCTGTTGCAAGGGTTTAGGGTTTAGGGTTTAGGGTTTAGGGTTTAGGGTTTAGGGTTTAGGGTTTAGGGTTTAGGGTTTAGGGTTTAGGGCTACTAATGTCACAGGATGTGGAGCAAAAGCTGCGGCAGTTTCGGCGGCTCTCTGAGGCCTCTCGGATTTGAGCGATGTCCCAGGCCTCGATCATATCAACCTACCCTCCTTGCCACCCATATAAAAGCACAGGGAAACTATGTTACAACCTTGTTTAGGGCACTTTTGTCACCCTACTTTCTTCTGGGCATCCGCTGCTTGTGTGCGGCATGTGACACTGAAGAAGACCGCAAGAAAGTGAACTGATGAAAGTCCCCAAACCCTGAACCCTGAACCCTGAACCCTAAACCCTAACCCCTAAACCCCCCTTTTCTATGCCCCCTGCCGACACAAGCCCTCTCCTGACTGGTGGCCATCAAAGGCTGGCACTTGGAGCGGCGGAAGTCCTCGCCATATAGTGCCCCCCAAAGCATCCTTTCAGGCCCCCCCCCCCCCCCAGGTCTCAGGGTAGCTTCATGGTCCCTCAATATGGTCCCTTACCCTTGGGTTGTGCGGGGTATGAAAGGGGTTAATATATAAGGGGTCCCCTTTTGAAGGGCCCAAATTAAGGGACCATGTAACTATACCCCAAGACTGAGCCACGAACTCGTTTCGGGTTGAGGGCAGAAAGCAAGAACTCTGCACCCTCCACTCCCTCAGCCCATACTCAGATGTCCCACACCCCTTGTGCCAACCCCTGAACCTTCGTAGACAAAAGTAGCATTGGGGGTTTCCTAGAGGTACCTATAGATGATTGTTGTGGTCCTTAGAAGTGAAATTTGGGGTAGATACGGGGTAGATATGGGGTACCCCATATTTTGGGAAGTGCCCGTGTAAGTCGTGCATTCCACTGCTGTAGACGAGTAGTTTTCTCCGGACCTGGACAAGTTGGCCCACTTGGCGGGTTACGGGTGCCTCCTGACTGAGAGCAGAGCCAGATGTGGGTGCAGTTACCCAACTTTTGCCCCCACAACCCAAGCTTTAGACCCTAAACAAACAAACCCCCACCCCTAAACCCTAAACCCTAAACCCTAAACCCTAAACCCTAAACCCTAAACCCTAAACCCTAAACCCTAAACCCTAAACCCTAAACCCTAAACCCTAAGCCCTTCTCCCTAAAACTTCAAGAAACATCCTAGGATCTGCCGGGCTCTGGTTGGGTGCAGCCCAAAGACCCTCGCGTCTTGCTGAGGCCGCTGCGGCTTCGGGGTTAGGGGTTCGGGGTTAGGGGTTAGGGGTTAGGGTTTAGGGTTTGGGGTTTAGGGTTTAGGGGTGGGGGTTGTTAGGACTTACAGGGTTCCATGCTAGCTGCGTGGCACTTGTATGGGTTTAGGGCAGCCCTAAACCGGGGCTTATGAGCTCAGCAACTAAGGCACCGACCCTGAACCAATCCCTACCTAGAGCAACCGATACACCCTTGTTGACAAAGGAGAATGTACCAGAGTTGTTGATCATTTTTCTAAACCCTAAACCCTAAACCCTAAACCCTAAACCCTAAAAACCTTAAACCGCAAACCCAAAAAACCCTAAACCTTATAAACCCTTATAGATGGGCTACTCTTGGCAACCCAACAGCCCCTTAGCACTATGGCCCCCTCTCTCTCTTTTCCCCCCTGCCCGCGGGAGATTTTCCCAACTTTCCCCCTAAGCCCGGCCTCAAACCCTCAACATCCTACAGGTAGGCCCTTTGGAGTTGTTTTTTGGTGCAATGCCCTTCTCTTGTCATTGGGCTGAAGCAGATCAACTGTAAGAGATTCTTCTCAGAAGACTTGTAAGGGTGAGCCAAGCATCCTCTCCCCCCCATTACCAACCCTGTACTGTCGGAGTAATTACATGGACTACAACAGTTCCCCCCCCCCCCCCCGGCGGCAGGTTTTTGCGATTTTGTTTTGTAGGCCCTTGGATACTGTCTATTTTCCTTTCTTTGGGTTATGAGGATCATATTCAGGATGTCTTTTCAGAATCCCTAATCCCTAAACCCTAAACCCTAAACCCTAAACCAAGGGGGCCAACCTAGCTTCTGCGAGTCCGAGTCGGGAGGTTCCTCCTGGCACGGCAGTGCAACGTGGAGCGCGCAGCTCGACGCCAACCACGGTGGAACCCCGGGGCCTCAATAGGGTTTAGGGTTTAGGGTTTAGGGTTTAGGGTTTAGGGTTTAGGGTTTAGGGTTTAGGGTTTAGGGTTTAGGGTTTAGGGTTTAGGGTTTAGGCAGCAGTGAGTGCTTTTTGACATGCCACCTCGAGCAACCTCTATATGGGGCTGGGAGTGGGGTTGGCTCCCAAAAGTAGGGCACACTTTTCGAGGGTTCCTTTTGGAGCCCTTTACGGTTCGAAGGGAGTTTAGGTTTTTGGGGGATTGGGGTTTAGCTGAGGGTTTTGGGGATTAGGGTTTTGGGTTTCGGGGCCCAAAAATAATCAAGCGCTATCCGAGGCACCCACAGACTCCAATTAGAAAGCAACATTCCTGCAATCATACGCCGGATCCAAGCTGTGGTTTCAGGAATGTTCCCGCAACTCCGGGATATGGAAGCCCTTAACTTGGGATGTTCCCCCCTATACCAACAGTCCTTAATCGGGATTTTCATAAAGGGGAGGGGGGGGGGGGGTACTCTAGTCCCTATTGAGGCCTGTTAGTATAGGGAGGAACATCCCAACCCAAAGGTCTAACCCCCAACCCGGCACCCTAAGCCGGCAGGCCTTCCAGATGCTTCAGTCCGTGCTCACCTGGCGGCAGCAAAACGGCGCCACCAGCTGCAAGCGGGATGGCTCGGGTTTGGGGCTTGGAGCTCAGGGCTTGGGCTCACAGAGGCCCTATTTCCCACAAGCCCTCACCACCCTAAGCACTCAAACCCTAAACCCTAAAGAACCCTAAACCCCTAAACCCCAAAACCCCAAAACCCCTAAACCATAAACCCTTCTCCCTAAACCCTAAACCCTAAACCCGAAACCTGTTTGATTGCAGCCAAGGTGCTGCCAACGCCCTCCCTCTGTGGAACAAGGCCTTGGCTTTCGGAGTTGGGGTTTTTCTCGTGTGCCAAGCGCCTAAACCCTAAACCCTAAACCCTAAACCCTAAACCCTAAACCCTAAACCCTAGGGTTGAACCCGAAACCCTAAACCTAGATTTCTGGACTCCAAGAAGCAAGTCGCACAACAAGCCGAGAAGACAACAAGAACCCTACGCTGCGGCCTTAAGCTGCCTCACAGCCATCTGGAGAGTGGTTCTCTCAATCCCTAAACCCTAAACCCTAAACCCTACACCCTAAGCCCTAAACCCTACTACACTCCCGAACCTAAACGCCGTTGTGCCAGATGCTCCATAACACGGCCTGTTGACACCCTCTAAACCCGTAATACAGGGCTCGGAATAACTACGAATAGTCTTCCCGTAAACCCCCCCTCAAAACAAAAAAACAAATCTAATTATCAAGGCCCCTATAGTAGTTTTCTAAAATTCTAGATTCCCTTTTGGGCCACCGTTTTTGTACGGCACTTTGTAAGAAAGGGTAAACAAAAAAGGGGGACCTTAGTGCATTTTGCGGCACCTTGTTTCAAAAACGGGGATCTTCGTTTAGAGAACTAAAAAACCTAAATCCTAAACCCTGAATCCTAGCCTCTGTGGTGCTTTACTGTAACTTTAGATCCTTAGCCTTTTGGGTTTTATTGCGTTTCTTAAACAGGCAGCTAAAAATTAGATTTATAGCTACCCTGCTAAGAGTGCAGCCAAGAAACCGTAAATACTAAGCCCGGCCCTAAATCCTTATCAGGTGAAGCACGAGAGGTTTGACTTCTACTGGAAGTCTTTTGGTTGTACCGGCCTCGACCGCGACGGAGATCCGGTGGTCTTCGAGAGGCCGCCCCACTTGAGGTTTCAGGTTTAGAGTGTGAGGTTTAGGGTTTTGGGTTTTGGGCGTCCCGCCACGCAGCGGCAGCACATGCTGTGTGAAATGGCGCCCGACACAGGCGGGTGCGGCGGGTTCCCTCGCCCCCCCCTTCCCTCCCCTACCCCCCTGCAGTTACGCGAATGTATTGACCAAGACCACCTTGGGGGGAGTGCTGGTTCCTTTCTAGTCATTGCACGTATACTGTATGTATCATTATTCTTAGCAGGAAATGAGGGGATTAGGGCCCTATATATACCCTTTAAAGGATTACTTACATAGGGTACCTCATTCACCATTCCCTACTAACCAACAGTAAGTATTGTGGTCATGAGGGCATGAAAAGTTTTTCCTCTTTCTATACCATGATGATGCCGTGAACAGTTTAATTCTTTCACATCCCCAGGTTTCATCTAGGGGAAAGTAGCAAAGTGCCCCCCCCCCTCCCTCCCCCCTAAACCCTAAACGCCCTAAACCCTAAACCCTAATCCCTAAACCCCAAACCCTAAACCCTAAACCCTTCGGAGCCGAAAGAGCTCCTCCCTGCAGGGTTGGGCAGCTGGACGTGCCCGGCCTCGTGAAGTGCCATCCGGATTTTATCCGGCAACACTGCATCTACAATGTTGCCTGGCCTGCGCGCGGTTTACGGTTTAGGGTTTGGGGTTCAGGGTTCAGGGGAGAGGGTGCAGGGCCTCCAATGTGGAGTTCTTGGGCGTTGTCAGAGATGTTCAAGGGTCTCTTGAAGCCAATCTCCCAGGCCGAGTGTGTCTTCTCCAGCTTGGAGATACTGAGACGGCGGTGCCTCAAGCAGGATAGCCACCGTGGCTTCCAATGCACAGTGGTTGTCGACATGACAGGGCTCAACCTCTCGTTCATGGATCGACATGCTCTCACACTGTGCCCTGGCGGATTTAGCTGGTGTCTCTGTGTAGGACCATTAAGACCCCAAAGCCCCAACAAGCACCTAAACAAGACCAACAAGCACCTCAAAATGTCAAGGGGTTTGCACAACTACGAAGGTTGCATCCCTCAGCAATTCGCAATTCTGCGCTGAGGTGCCAACTGGTGTCACGCGTGGAGGCCGACAACTACCCTGAAGCACTGAAGCGGGTGACTTGGGAGGGTTGAGGTTTTAGGGTTAGGTCTTCGGGGGGGCTTAGGGCTCATTTTGTCTTAATGTGGTTTGTGGCCTTGGTTTGTGGGATCCCTTGTAAAAGCAAGCAACACCCTCCCCTCCCCTCTCTCAAAAAGAAACAAAACAAGAGAAAATAAGAGAGAGAGAGAGGGGCATGATATGGTTGCTGGGCTACCCAGGTTATTAGGGTATAGGGTCTAGGGTTACCCGAACCTAAACCCTAAACCCTAAACCCTAAACTCAGGTTATTGTGGTCCGTGCGCCCTGGATCTTCCCTGCGATCTGGCAGATTTGCAAGCCTTTCTTCGATAAGGGCACGCTGGAGAAAGTGAGCATCCGGGTATGACCTTGGGACATTGTGTATTTCCCCAGTTTGTGTTTAGGATTTAGGATGTAGGATTTAGGGCTTAGGGCTTAAGGCTTAAGGGCTTATAGGGCTTAGGGCTTAGGGTTTGGGTGGCTGACATTTAGGAGGTTTTTTTTGAAGATTCAAAGAGCCAAGCTAGGCATCGTAAAGGAGAGCGAGATGACAGAAGTTTTGCTGAGACACATCCCTGTGGAGAATGTGCCAAAGGCCTGATTGAGGGATAGGGTTTGGGGTTTAGGGTTGAGGGTTTAGGGTTTAGGTTTTAGGGTTGAGGGTTTAAGGCCTGACTCAGGGCTTGTATCCTCCCTCCCCCATCACGCTAACCCAAGCCCTAAAGCCCAAGCTGAAAAGCTTCGAATGCCTCTTCCTAGGTTCTCCTCCAAAAACCCGGAACCTCAACTTCGAGGGTTAGGTTGCGATTGTGTTTACGGTTTTATGTTTCGGGTTTGGGGGTTTGGGGGTTGCCCTGAAAGTTGCAGGCACTCGGCGGGAGGCTGGTCTCTGGCAGAGGCGATGACTACTGCTCCACCATCATTGCTCCAGGTGGAAAGATTCCTGAGGACATCATCGCCATGACCCATTCGACATAAGCTGTTTTCACTGGGTTGCCCTACATGAGTCGGAGAGCCCTTGAAAAATGTATCCACACACGTAGAGTTGCAATGTAGGACAACCCCCCATCTAGCTCGTGAGTTGTAGGGGCGGCACTGAAGTCTGTGGTGCTTTGCTGTAATTAACTTTAGATCCTTAGCCTTTTGGGGCTTCTTGGGTTTCTTCATAAGGCAGCCAAAAACTACATTGAGGACCCTAGACCCTATACCCTAAACCCTAAAGTCTGCTAAGTTGTCGAAAGCCCCCCCACTGCTAGAGTTATGCCTTCGAGTCCGATTCTGCTGAGCACCCAGACTCGGTGCACCGACACTTATAGCCCCCCTTAGGAACTGTTTTTGTTATACATACATACATACATACATACATACATACATACATACATACATACATACATACATACATACATACATACATACATACATACATACACACATACATACATACATATATACATATATACATATGTACACATATAATATATATATATATATATATTAAATATCCTTAGGCAAGAACAAGCATATTATTCGTGTCAAGGTTCTAAGGGGGGTATAGGACATGGCGACAGCCCAACTTCAAGTTTTCCACACCTCGTGCCCGCACGGCTCCTCGGTTTCTCGATACCTGATTTTCCCAGGGCCGTGGCCGTGCAGCCACAGGGGTTTAGGGTTTAGGGTTTAGGGGGGTTGCGTTCTGATTTCCGGAGGGGAAAGCGGCCGAATGCCATGAGCTGGAGAGCGGTTTTGACATCGTGCTGCCTGTTTCGTGATCTGCGATCTGGCGGTTGGTGGCGGAGCTTAGACCGAGTTGTCTTGCGCTTGCTTTGAGTGGCCTCGCCCAGATGTCGCGCTAGATGTTTAGATGCCGGCTCGGGTTGCGGAAAAGAACGGCCATAGCTCTGACCCCGAGGCCTTCTGCCAGATACTTTGTTGCTGCTCCTGCGCCCTGCAAGTCTAGGTTTCCAAATATGGGCTCTTTAGCTTTATCGGCTTTAGGGTTTAGGGATTAGAATTCCCTCATTACATAACCCACTTGTGTACACCATGTAAGATCGGGGCCCGTACTTCGGATCCCTATTAACACGGGTAAGGGACGATACTAAGCGCCCATGGTTCCAACCATTAAAACTTTGCAAAGGAACCACGATGCTCGGTTGATCCCTAGAGGCCCCGCCCTCAAACGCAAAGCCCAAGACCTAACGCCACACTCCAAAATCTCTGGGTTTAGGGTCTATATTAAGGGTTTAGGGTTCATAGTTTGGTCAAAACCTAACGAAGTCTCTAGGTTTAGGGTCTATATGGGGTATAGGGCTAAGGGTTTAGGGTTGCATAGTTTGAGGGTCCATCGGCCATTAACCCTCAATTTGGGTCCCTTGTTACGTAACCCTTATGTGCACTACGCGCAATGAAGGCCGATATTTCGGATCCCTATAAACAGGCCATGAACATCCCTAAACCCTGAGCCCTAAACCCTAAACCCTAAACCCTAAACCCTAAACCCTAAACCCTAAACCCTAAACCCTAAACCCTAAACCCTAAACCCTCTAAGCAAGGGTAGAGGAGCCCCCGAAAAGAATCCCCTAAGGTCAGCTTCTCAGTCGGCAAGGGCAACGTGGCTGGGAAGTCAAGCCAGGACAAGGTGGAGAGCTGCTTGGACGTCTTTTTGTTGAGGGTTTAGGGTTTAGGGTTTAGGGTTTAGGGTTGAGGGTTTAGGGCTTAGGGTTTAGGGTTGAGGGTTTAGGGTTTAGGGTTTAGGGTTCAGCATCTCAAGTTCGAGCATTTACTAGGCCAGCAGTGTGTGTAGGCAACGGAAAAAATCCCACCCGCCCAAAGAATCTCATAACATTAAGAAAATAGAAAGTTTTTCTCAATTTCTGTTCAGATGCACCAAGAGGCCAAACCATCACACGGGTCAGACGGGTCAAAACGCCAAATTCGTGCTGAACAATGGGGGGCCAAACGGGTGGAACATGGTGGAACAATGGGGGGGCCAAACGGGTCAGACGGGTCAAAACGCCAAATTCGTGCTGAACTATGGGGGGCCAAATGGGTCAGACGGGTCAAATCGCCAAATTCGTGCTGAACAATGGGGGTCCAAACGGGTCAGACGGGTCAAAACGCCAAATTCGTGCTGAACAATGGGGGGCCAAATGGGCCAGACGGGTCAAAACGCCAAATTCGTGCTGAACAATGGGGGGCCAAACGTGTCAGACGGGTCAAAACGCCAAATTCGTGATGAACAATGGGGGGGGCAAACGGGTCAGACGGGTCAAAACGCCAAATTCGTGCTGAACAATGGGGGGCCAAATGGGTCAGACGGGTCAAAACGCCAAATTCGTGCTGAACAATGGGGGGGCCAAACGGGTCAGACGGGTCAAAACGCCAAGTTCGTGCTGAACAATGGGGGTCGAAATGCCAACATCTAGGTACATATGGTAGAGAGGTTTAGGGTTTAGGGTTTAGGGCCGAGAGCCTAGAGAGATTCTTGTCAGGACCTTGGGATGTTTGCCAATGTTTGCCTCTCCCCCCATCTTGAGGTTCAAGGTACCGCGAGGCATCACAAATGAGTGCAAAGGTTGGGCTTCGTGCAGTCTGTGGTATCCCTGAACCCTAAAAACCCTAAACCCTAAACCCCTAAACCCCTAAACCCTAAACCCTATAGGGTTGTGCGGTTGGGCTTGTTGCCAGAGAAATTCGTCACCTCAAAGCCCTCAAACCTAAACCCTAAACCCTCGGCCATCTACAAACAAATCGAGCATCTTCAGCTGGTGTCTTGAGGCGCCCGTGCGTCTCAGGAGCTAGAGGTGCAGTTCATTCTCTAAACCCTAAACCCTAAACCCTAAACCCTAAACCCTAAACCCTAAACCCTAAACCCTAAACCCTAAACCCTAAACCCTAAACCCTAGCCCTAAACCCTAAACCCCAAACCCGAAACCCGGTTCGGTTGCCTCAGAGGTGCAGGGCTTCTGGCTTACAGGTACTACGTGGCTGTCGAAGAGGATGCCCATTGAAGCCCTAAGCCCTAAGCCCAAACCCCAAACCTATTCAATGCTGAAGAACCCCAAACAAAATAATAATCTTCTTCCCTGATTAATTATTAAGGGTAATATAGGGATTAAAAAATCCTTTTGGGGTTCTTAAGCAAATAGTAGAAACCGCCAACCTTAGACTCGACACCTGGAGCCGATGGCAGGTGTGTCTCAGTCCGCAGAAAATCTGCGCCGACACCCTGTTCGTGGAAGCCACCCAGATGACTCTTGATTGCAAGCTCCCTAAACCACTTCCCTAAACCCTAAACCCTAAACCCTAAACCCTGAACCATCCTGACCCCTTAGCCCTAAACCCCACTGCCGAGACTGCGCGGTGGTTGATCGACTCTCTATAGTATCTTCCCCGCTTCTAGACCCTAAGCCCTACCGGGTGGGGCCCCCTTACTATGCTAACTGTAGTTAAGGGACTTGTAACCTAACTTAGGGTCCTTATAACCCAATTTAGGGCCCTTATAACTCTACTTATAACTAGGGGACCCTAAGCCCTAGACCCCAGCAGAAGAGTCTGCCACCCCCTTTCGGGCCTCAAACATCGAAGGGCCTCGGGGCCTAGGCTCAACTGCATGTACTACTCTCGGCTAACGACCGCCCCCTCCCCCCCCCCCCCCCCCCCCAAAAAAAAAAAAAAAAGGAGATCATATTCCCTATATTGCCCTCCTAAGGAAGAGCAGGTTTTCTCTTTTGGGGGGGGGGGGTTCTTAAGCGAACTAGTAGTATACAGGGCTCCTGGGCAAAGATGGTCGCGAACCTGAGGCCCCACACCAAGACCACGACGCACACCTGCGAGAATGTACAGCGCCAACCACCCCCCTTGTGCAGACTCAGCAAAACGGGTTTAGGGTTTAGGGTTTAGGGTTTTGGGTTTTGGGTTTTGGGTTTTGGGAACCCTCCTCAAGCCTCAACCCTGAGCCGACTGAAACCCATCGCGGTCTCGCATGGTGGAAGAGTGTGGACGCTTAACAGTACCATATGCTCATACAACATGCTTATAAGTTCTGTTGCAGAATAGGAATGCCAACAAAAACAACAGCTCGAGCAAGACAGTGTAAAACGTGGTAGAGCAGATGTGCAAACTCGGGTTCAGCTGCCGAGGTCTGACGAGCCCTTCAGCATAGCCGAGCACCCAGCACAGGGGAACGGGCCAGAGCTCCTTGCCGGGCTATGTAGGGTTTAGGGTTAGGGTTTACGGTTTAGGGTTTACGGTTTACGGTTTAGGGTTTAGGGTTTCGGATCATAGGCTAGGCCCCTGGAAAAAAGCTGGCTACTGCCCCCTGCTCCTGCTGCAAAGTCGGACCTTTGAGCAAGAACCGCCCATGAAATCCACAGCCACTCGGAACTCGTGGCTTCACACCCCGCGCTGACAGCCCATAACCCTATAAACCCTAAAGCCTAAACCCGGCCGAGGCCGCCCCCTACAGAAGGGGGGCGGCGCTTAAGCCCTTCGACCTCTATGGCGAAAGTCGACCCAGGTCGCTTGAGGTCGGTAGCACCCACGATGGGCCTAAACGCCCCCCCTCGTGCCAGAAGGTGGCTGGCATTGCCTCAGGCTGGTCCAGGCAGGGTGCCCCCCCCCCTGACCCCCCCTGCCCCCTTGCCTCCCGCCAGGCCCCGCTCTGCCCCCCCATGGGTTTCTGGTCCCTTGGCCTCATGGCCCGCCCTGGTCCTTTTCTATGCAGCTCAGGACCTAGCCTCAAACCTTTCCCTTGGCTGAAAGTGGTCATCGGTGACGGAAAGGTTTTTTTTTGAAAGTAAGCGATTGTCATGAGTTTCGGCCTACACCCTAAAAGGAATAGGTTTGGGTGGTTTTGCCGCCTCGGACGGCGTGGGGTGGGAGACAAGTATTAGATGGCCCTCCACAATCAGGCCAGAACTGCTCTTCGCATCTGACGAGGCTAGCCGCTGCTGCATCCTAACCTTCACAGCATCTACGCCCCCTATTACAGCAAACCCCAAACCCTAAACCCTAACCCCTAAACGCCTAAACCCCCAAACGCCTAAACCCTAAACCTCCCCCAGCTCAGTTCCCTTTCGACGGCATGGTCGGCTTGGGCATGCCCAGCCTGTCGCTGACCAAGGTGGCAAAAGCAGATAGACTGCCCCAACTTTGAGCGCTTGTTTTCGGTGTTCCTAGGGTTTAGGGTTTAGGGTTTAGGGTGTAGGGTTTAGGGTTTAGGGTTTAGGGTTTAGGGACTGGGTAGGTAACCTTTAACCTTTTGGGTTATATAGAGCCCTACTTAGTATAGAAGGTTAACCTTGTTTGAGCTAGGGTACTCAGCCCCATAGGGGTTCCTTCTTGTCGAATCTTTCAGCCTCCGTCCTAGCATTTTGTCAAAGACATGACTTGCCCTTAGGCTCCAGGGTTTAGGGTTTAGGGTTTAGGGTTTAGGGTTTAGTACACCCGAGCCTTCTATAACAACCGCATGAGCTTTGCGTGGTGGTGCGGAGTGTGTGGGGATGTTGGAGAGAACCCGCCACAAAGACGACCTTTCCCAGGCTAGGTTAGGACCAGGGCTTTCTCTGGGTTCTATAGGGTATTTCGCATTGCAGGATTGCGGTGGGCAGAGGGTTTAGGGACGTGCTCGCCTGGCTCCAGGCCAATCAATAACCGAACCTTTCTGCAAGACCGTTAGGGTTTAGGGTTTAGGGTTTAGGGTTTAAGGCTTAGGGTTTAGGGTTTAGGGCTTAGGGTTTAGGGTTTAGGGTTTAGGGTTTAGGGCTTGTTCACATCCCCAGCATGTCGTGGGTGGGACCACACGAGGATACAAGCAACTCCCCGAGATGCTCGAGTTGCCAAATCACTTCCAACGCAGCCCCTTCTTCAGAGGCACACAACTTCCTTGGCAATCTCGCAGAGGTCACCAGCTCAGCTGAACCTCAACACTGAACACAAAACCCTAAACCCTAAACCCTGCACCCTCTTTGGCGGCGCTGGGGTTTCGAGCACGGGTGGTGGATCCAAGGCTCCGGCGTGTTGCCGATTTCAGGGTGTTGGCGGGTTTTGGGTGCACTTCGCGTTGGTTTGGGTTTTGTTCAGGGTTTAGGGTTTAGGGTTTAGGGTTCACGCTGCATATCGGGGTCCTTCGACCTACGAGCATGGGAGTCCAGACAAGGCCCCTCTGGAATCATACCTCCCCCCCCCCTCTCCTTTTTACCCACAGAGAAGAGGGAGATGCACCTCTAAATTGTTTCGTGCGCTTGGTGTAAAGGTATATAGTACATAGGTTACTCGAGGTATGGCGTGAATAGATGTGGGAGACCATCTGTGGGAATCCTCCCGCCTCCTAAACCCTAAAACCTAAACCCTAATCCCTAGACCCTAAACCCTAAACCCTCCTGGCTGCCTAGGCAAACCAGCTGGACAAAGACCGCTTTGCCGTCTGGATAGCCACTGAGGCCGTTGTGGCTTCCTGTGACACAACCCTAAACTCTGTGGTGCTTTATTGTAACTTTAGATCTTCGCCTTTTGGGTTTATTGGGATTCTTAATAAGGCAGCTACCAATTAAAAATTAAATGTAGAGCTACCCTGCTAAGTGCAGCCAAGTAAACCCGGAAACCCTGACAACATGTGGCAACCCGTCTGTTAGGGCTTAGAGTTTACGGTTCAATCAGGGTGGGGGCTGAAGATTTAGGGCTTGGGGGGGTTGGGGTCGGGGTTTCGGGTTAGAAATTTTAAAGAGTTTAGGGTTTATAAGGGAGACGGTTAGGGGTTTGGGGGGGCCCGGAACTCCACGCGCCAGGATGACAAGGAAGACTCGGAGATCAGCTTCGGTGCTCTGCCACCGAAGCGACTCGGCTCCGAGGTCACCTGGCTGCCGCTTTCCTCGACGACCTCAGGGCTGTGGCAGGCAGGGGGATGCCCTTGTGGGGGGGGGGGTTTTCGGGGCTTTTCTTTTTTTTGTTGTCTTTTATTTGTTTATTTATTTCTATTTTTTGGGAGGGGGGGGGGGGTTGGGGGGCTTTTTTGGGCTTAGGAGCTTTTTTTTGGGGGGGGGGGGGGCTTTCTTGGGGTTTTTTGGTTCCGAAAGCTTCGGGGCTCGGAAAGCTCATCCCCTAAACCCTAAACCCTAAACCCTAAACCCTAAACCCTAAACCCTAAACCCTAAACCCTAAACCCTAAACCCTAAACCCTAAACCCTTCTCCTGCACTGGCCGTCGTTACGCTCCCGCAGGTGGCGCTGTCCGACTTCACACTGAACTTGGTCCGCCTGGACCTCTGCAACTAGGCAAGGTTCTTGGGATTTGTGTTTGTTCATATGGGTGGTTGTCAAAATTATAATCCCTTTTGGGGTACCCTAAATATTAGGTGCCGTATTATAATAGGGACCCAAAAAGGGACCATAATTTTGACAACCACCCATATATATTCTCCCTTTTTAAGTTTGGGGTTTGGGGTTTAGGGTTTAGGGTTTAGGGTTTAGGATAAATGAGGAAAAGATTCTTCAACGGGTCTTATAAGGGCCATCCAAGGCAAGAAGGGCTGCCACGCCGCCTTTGACACCGGATCGGGAATGATTCTGGGCGATTGTTGTCGGTGGTTATGGGCTCCCGTTAATGATAATTTACAGTAACCAGCCCCGCCCCCCCCCCCCCCCCCCCCAACAAAAAAAATGGGCCCTCATTGTAGCATGGTTGCTGGGCTACCAAGGATTTCGGGTCCCAAGCGTTTGGTGGATGCAATCAGTCAAGAGCTGAACGTCGCCGCTGATTGTTCGAACTATGAGGAGCTGCCGGCCCTGGGCTTCGAGCTGCTTGGCTTTCTTGTGGCTGGCTCTTCGGACTTTAACCTTTTCGGTTTTTTTGTAGAACCACAATAACTACAATAACTACAATAACTACAATAACTACAATAACTACAATAGCTACAATAAGGAGCAATAACTACAATAAGGAGCCTAAAAGTTAAACTTTAAAGGGAGGGGTTCAGAAGTCAGCCAAGGCTGGGCGGCGTCACCTTCAACCTGGACAAGTACGAGCAGTGGTAGCCCAGTGGTACCCTTTTCCCTTATCATGTTGCTTCAAGGGCTTAACCCTTATAAAGCAACCAACCCCAAATTTAGGGTTTAGGGTTTAGGGTTTAGGGATTAGGGTTTAGGGTTTAGGGTTTCAAGTATGGTTCCTGGGCCACTAAGGAGTATGTGAAGCGCACCAGCGAGGGCTGCTTCCCCCAGTTCCAGGCCACGGAAGATGACGACGCACCTTGGGGACCAAATGAGCCTTCAAAATTGGGGTCCTATACCTTATACTACTATAGTTCCTATTAGGGTTTAGGGTTTAGGGTTTAGGGTTTAGGGTTTAGGGTTTAGGGTTTAGGGTTTAGGGTCCCTAAACCCTAAACCCTAAACCCCAAGGGTATATGAACATGAACCCACACCCTTTTAGGGCTCATTTCGTCCCCAAGGCAGGGGACTCCCCCACCATCTTCTTGGGGGCGCCCTTCCTCACGCGCTACGTGACCGTCTACGACCGCGTCTTCCTGCGGATGCTTGGGGATACTTGGGAATAGTGTTTAATCTTTGGGGTACTATAATAACAAAAATAATTCATATAATTCCTAAGAAGCCACAAAAAACTCTATATTTTTTGCCCAGGGTTCCCAATATTCAGAGAAAAAAAAAAAGGATGGGCCTTGCCTTTGCCGTGCATGCCAATGAGCCCACCGGGGAGAGCACGGAAGGCGCCATGAAGCGCCTCATGGGGCGGCCGAGTCTGGGACGAGCTCCGAAGGCTCCGGAGGCGCCAGAGTCGCAGTAGTCTAGGGGTCGGCATATAATTAATTTATATGCATGGTAGTCCCTTATTAGGGTCCCTTTATTTTTTGACCGTAATAAGCCCCCCCCCCCCCCCCCAAAACCCTATTCTGATTACTAAGGCCCCTGTAGTAGATGGGTGCGAAGTCGCTATGGAGTCGCCCAGTCCCTGCGACTCGCAAGTGAAAAAGAATATGAGGGCGCAGGCGCGCACGACAATTCTGCGCACGACAAGTCTGGCAGCTTCCAGATGCCTCGATTATGTTTAGGGTTTAGGGTTTAGGGTTTGGGTTTTAGGGTTTAGGGTTTAGGGTTTAGGGTTTAGGGTTTAGGGTTTAGGGTTTAGGGTTTAGGGTTTAGGGTTTAGGGTTTAGGGTTTAGGGTTTAGGCCAGCTAGGTTATTAGGGTTGTGATGCACAGGGTAAGCTCCGCTGATGTTGCCCGCGGCCTGTCATTCCGGCTCCGGTGCAAGAAGCCCTGTTCTGGAGGCGGATCTTATCGCATGTCAACCCCAGGCAAACAAGACACATACACATTCCCGCTCAAGGCCTGCAAAACTGCAGCAACACAGCAGAGCTTTCGCACCGAAGGCTTGAGTTTTGAGGCGCCCCTGTTTTACGGGGAATCCTCCTGTGTCTGGTTGTTTTTTTGTTGCAGCTCTTGTGCCCTCTGCCGCCATGCCGACCGCAGACACAGAGAAGAAGGTGAACATGCAGAGGACGTCCGCCCCATCCCGTGCAAGATGGGGCGTTATAGGACCTGCTATGCTCACTCCTCGAAAGTGTGGTCCTTTTTGGGGCCAGGTCCTCATTGTAAGGCGGCCCTTTTCTCTAGGGTACCCCAACAGGGACCAGAATTCAGCGAACTGACCATTAAAAAAAAAGATCCGACGACCCTGCTGATAACATCCAACAGCGGCCATGTTCAGGCCCGTGCATGAAGTGTAAGGGGCACGCAGCATGGTCAGTACAACCCGGCAACCCCAACACCCTAAACTCTAAACTTCAAACATGCCTCATTAGGTCCGGTCCCAGAGTAGGCCCTTATTTCCTTGTTCTACGGCTTGGGCGTACTACTTTGAGATCCTACAACGCAATGCACGCTGTGAAGTTGCCCGATCCCAGACCCCAATGGGCGGCTTAGGTTGCCGCATTAAAACCGACAAAAAGGTACCCTTTCTATTCCCTGGGCCACTCTTGGGCACAGTTGCTAGATTTGAACGACACGTCCTTCCCTGAGCAAGTCAACACCCGAACCCTAAACCTGGGTAGCCCCTTCGGAAATTTAACATCTTCCCTTACTTCGTTTGTGAGGATCATATTCAGGGATACCTTTCCTAGAAACCCCTAAACCCAAAACCCAAAACCCTAAACCCAAAGCCCGGTTCCTTCACTTTCTGGCGATTGCATCAATGGGGCAGGTGCCCGCACCCTCAACGCCATAGAGACCCTAAGACCCGAAAGGCAAAGGGTTTAGGGTTTAAGGTTTATGGTTTAGTTTTTAGGGTTTAGGGTGGGTTTAGGGGTTGGTTTAGGGTCCTTAACCTTCACCCTAACCTCAGTATATCAAACATGTAACCTTTTGTAGTACACAGCCTTCTAAAGATACATTTATCTAGTACACTGAAAACTGGAAATGCACATATTGATACATATACATCTAAGCATAAATCTATATGATATATGATATATGATATATGATATATGATATATATATATATATATATATTATGTATATATGTATATATTCATGCAAAATGAAAGCGTACCCTCTGCAGTCGTGGACCCCCCGAAACCATGGCCGAGTGCGGAGGTACTCCGACCCAGACCTGCCTCAACTGCTACCTCTGCCAGCACGACCGTCCTCGTCCTATGAGCCACGACCCAAGGTGGGCCCACTAAAGGGATGAGGGTGAAAAGCGTTTAGGGTTGAGGCTTTAGGGTTAAGGGCCTATAGGGTTTATAGGGCGTAGGGCTTAGGGCTGAAAGAGAGCTTAGGGTTTATAGAGCTTAGGGCTTCGGGGTTGTCGACTCTTCGAGGAGAGGGAACAAGGGGCGCAGGTCGGGTTGCTGGGGTTTCTGTTGGGTGTCCTACGTTGCCCTAAACCCTAAACCCTAAACCCTAAACCCTAAACCCTAAGCCCTAAACCCTAAACCCTAAACCCTAAACCCTAAACCCTAAACCCTAAACCCTAAACCCTAAACCCTAAACCCGACCCTTAACCCTTTCCGTCTGCATGTTTTGCCGGGACTCTGAGCTTAGGTTAGTGTTGGCAGTGTGGGGCTTAGGGCTTAGGGCAAATTGCGGGTTGATGTGGCTTCGTCATGCAGTTCTTATTGGGCTGCTTGGGGTTTGTGGGTTCCCGGAGAGCCTTTTGTGGAAGTACCGGAGTTGATAGAAGCTACTATTTGCTTAAGAACCCCCACCTCAAAAAATCATATTCCTTATAAGGTCAATATAGGGTAATATATTATATATATATATATATGTGTATATCTTGGGCTTCTTAAGCAAACAGTAGGAAAGGGTTCGGGGTTTAGGGTGGACTCTGCTGAATCACCAAGACGCGCGACACTCCGGTTTAGGGTTATAGGGTTATAGGGTTATAGGGCTATAGGGTTATAGGGTTATAGGGTTATAGGGTTATAGGGTTCAGGTTTCAGCGTTGAGCATCAAGGGGCCGAAGACCGGAGCCCTGTAACAAAAACGACCCCACTTGGAGGTTCATGGGACTAGAACTGGGCTTATAACCCTACTTATAATTGGGATAACCCCCAATAAGGCCTTTTAGGGGTATTATAAGTAGGGTTAGAAGTACAGTTGTAAGTGGTTATTAAGCCCCATGAGCCTCCAAGTAGGGCTTAGGGAACTGGAAACCCTAAACCTACACCCTAAACCCTAAACCCTAAACCCTAAACCCTAAACCCTAAGTACCATGAACCTTCAAGCAGAGCATCGCCAGGTCAAAGAGGCCGCCCAGTTCACGGACGATGTCATGCAGGCCTCTCTGGTGCTCTACAGTAGCCCTAAACCCTAAACCCTAAACCCTAAACCCTAAACCCTAAACCCTAAACCCTAAACCCTAAACCCTAAACCCTAAACCCTAAACCCTAAACCCTAAACCCTAAACCCTAAACCTAACCCTAAACCCTAAACCCTAAACCCTAAACCCTAAACCCTAAACCCTAAACCCTAAACCCTAAACCCTAAACCCTAAACCCTAAACCCTAAACCCTAACCCTAAACCCTAAACCCTAAACCCCAAGCCCTAAACCCTCAACCCTAAACCCTAAACCCTAAACCCTAAGCCCTCCCTGCTAAGTGCAGCCAAGAGGCCATGGCAGAGAAGCTGGGCATCAACGTGATGGCACCTCGGATGCTTTGAGGGGTTTAGGGTTAAGGGTTTAGGGTTTAGGGTCTTAGGGTCTTAGGGTCTTAGGGTCTTAGGGTCTTAGGGTTTAGGGTCTTAGGGTCTTAGGGTCTTAGGGTCTTGGGGTTTAGGGTTTAGGGTTTGGGGTTTGGGGTTTAGGGTTTAGGGGTTCTTGGTAGCCCAGTGGTACCCTTTGCCCTGTTTTTGTTTCAAGGTGCCCTTGTACAGTATCCAACCCCAACAAAGGGTGCCCTAAAAATGGCAGGGCTACGAAGTGGGTGCTTTTTGAGAGTATTGAGGTGCGGTGTTGAGGGTTTTAAAGGGTGGAGGCGTGTGGGTCGAGGGACGTTTGCTTTATATGTCACAAAACTCTGGGGCTCGTAGAATGAGGATACTCGAACTTATTAGGAGTCCCCCCCCCTCCCCCGCCTCCCCATGTTAGGGAAATACCCCTATACACTTTTTGTCATGAGCGACAGCCTCTTATCCTGAAGCCTAAGCCCTTGAACTGCAGCGCCGTCACACGAACCCTGAGAATCCAAGAGACCTAATTACAGCAAAGCCCCCCACTCACCCCTCCCCCCCCCCCCCCCCCCCGCACACCCTAAAACCCTGAAGCCCTACGAGCTCTCCAAAGCTCTAACTTTTCGAGCCCCAACCTGCGCCCTAGGCGACCCAAAATCGTAAACCCCATGGAACCCTACAAAACCCTATAAGCCCTATAAACCCGATAAACCCGATAAACCCTATAAACCCTAAACCCCAAATAGACCCCATAAACCAAAAGCCCTACCTGAAATTTAAGATTTTGGGGGGCCTCTTGTGGGAGGCTCTTTTTAAGGAACCCGCCCCTCCGCTCAGTCACAGCCGGAGTTCAACTGGGTGATCCGAGACTGCCTGCTCTCGCTGCGAGACGAAGGTTGGACCTGCCAGGCCAAAAGCGGGTTTAGGGCTTAGGGTTTAGGGCTTAGGGTTTAGGGTTTAGGGTTTAGGGTTTAGGGAGGTTTGGGGGTTCTAGGGCTCTAGGGGTTTCAGGGGCTTAGGGTTCAGGGGTTTGGGGTTTATGGGTTTAGCTTGGGATTTAGGGGTTCTAGGGGTTTAGGGGTTCTAGGGACTTAGGGTTTAGGGTGTACGGGGCTTCGGGTTTGGGGGTTGAGAGTTTAGGGTTTGAGAGGTTTAGGGTTTAGGGTTTAGGGGATTAGGGGTTTAATGTTTAGGGGTTAGGGTTGGGGGTTTAGGGTGTGTCAGGGGAGGGCGCGCTCGGGTGTGAAACGCCCCTGGCCGCGCGCTGTGTTGCTCGTCAACCCACCCCGGCCACCCACATTTGCATTTATTATTACGCTTATAATTCTTCTTTTTGTTGTTATGACTAATATTATATATATATATATATAGTATCTATATATATATATTCATTTTCAGTTTGGTTTTTTTAAGGAGTCATGGGCAAAAACTAATCGTAATTCTTCCGACCCCTGTATTGGGCAACCAGATGCCCTGAACCTTGAAGCAAAAGCACTAATCGTGCCTAAACTTCAAGCCCAAACCCGTAACTGTGACCCGGAGTAGGCCCTGATTTCCTTCTTACAGGTCAGGGGTTCCCTTACAATCCCATTATAACCAAAAGGGGTACCCCTTTTTATCCCTAGGTTTCTCCCCTAAACCCTACACCCTACACCCTAAACCCTAAACCCTAAACCCTAAACCCTAAACCCTGACTTTGGCCTGGGAAGGTGCGAAGCGGTGACCTGGAGTACTGCTACAAGTACAAGGATGAGACGCGACCGTGCCACCCCCCGGCTGTTTCAAGAGCCGACAGAAGTCGGAAGTTAGGATTTAGGGTTTAGGGAATGTTCTTGGTTTGGGGTTTGGGGCTTTAGGGTTTGGGGCTTTAGGGTTTGGGGCTTTCGGGTTTAGGGTTAAGGGTTTAGGGTTTAGGGTTTAGGGTTTAGGGTTTAGGGTTTAGGGTTTAGGCGTACCACTCAATGAATCATAGGGAGTACGGGTACATGCCCGACATTTTTTTAAGGCCCTCAGCCCAGTGATACCCTGTACCCTTTTGTTGGTTATGGGTTCCCTTACAAAGTAACAAGGACCCCCAAAAAGTTGCCCTTATGATATTATGGTTACTGAGCTACCAAGTTCTCGTTGGACCCGAAGTCCCTGATTCCCAGCTAAGAAGTAACAAGCAGACGTCGGATGTGTAGGTACATGGACATGTACTTGGAGGTTCCTTAGGGCACTTATGAGTAGGGTCAAAGTAGGGTAACTATGGTTGTAACCTTCTTCAGGGTACGTTATAACCCTACTTAGAAGTACCCATCTAGGATGCCCAGTACTACCCTTTTTCCCTTTTTTGGGGGTGTAGGTTCCCTTATAAAACCCCTTTAGGCAAAAAAGGGCACCCCTTTTAATCCTAGGATACTGGGCAACCTAGCCATGAACCTTCAAGTAGGTACCTGTCTATGGAAGATGGGAGATGGTAGAGAGAGAGAGAGAGAGAGAGATGCATACCCCAGAAATGCATGCGATGTCCCGTTGTAGGGGATGGGTGCAAGCATGTATGCTGCTTGCCTAACTTCGTGTGCCAAACCCTAATGCAGCCATTCCTCCCTTTCCCCCATTTTTCAGCACCTTTCTACGCTTGTTTTCAAAGTCAGCGGTCCCAGAAGGATCCCATCCTCAACCTACCTAAACCCTCAGCCCAGAAAAACGCCAGCATCCTGAACCTACCGGAACTAGGACCCAGAGTAGGCCCTTATTCCCTGGCTATTAGGATTCAGGTTCCCGAAGAAGCCCCTTTAAACCCAAAAAATCCTGGGTTACTCTTGGGTCAACCCTAAACCCTAAACCCTAAACCCTAAACCCTAAACCCAAAACCCTGATCATCTGTTCCCGCGCGCAGGTACCACCCCATTGCGGAGGCGCACCGGAAGCTGGCAGAGCGGCTGATGGCCTCGCAGAGCGTCAGGGGCCTTAAAGGGTTTAGGGTTTAGGGTTTAGGGTTTAGGGTTTAGGGTTTAGGGTTTAGGGTAGTCATGACAGCCTAAACCCGAGAGACCCAAATAGCCCTATGAGCCCTACATACTTGAAGGGGTTTAGGGTTTGGGGTTTAGGGTTTAGGGGGGTCATGACCCTAAGCCCTAAGCCCTGAACCCTAAACCTTAAACCCCACTCCTCATAGGGTTTTAGGGCTTGGTTTTGGGTGCGTGGATGATGGGCTACTCAGAGAGAGACTACCAGCTTGTTGGGCAAACGCAGGGTCTCTGCAAATGCAAAGGCAACTCTAGGCTCAGTGGGGTTTAGGGTTTAGGGTTTAGGGTTTAGGGTTTAGGGTTTAGGGTTTTAGGGTTTAGGGTTTAGGGTTGCTTCTGCGACATCTGCGCCCAGGATCTTCAGATGAAGCATTTGGATCCACACTAGCGCGGGACCTTGGCCTGGCGAGGGGGAGAGAGGGGGGGGGGGGTGGCTTCAAGTGGCTAAGAGGGTCTTTGTTTATAGGGTTTAGGGGTTAGGGCATAGGATCCCTGAGCCCTAAAGCCCTGTTTAGGGTTAGGGCGATACCCTGAAGCCAGAACCTGAAACATGTCTCAGGCCTCAAAGTCAATAGATCCTGCATCTCACCACCTGCTCGGAGAACTCTCCAGACGACAGGGACCAGGATGCACAGCTGCCTCCAGTTCTATTTCCTTGGCTTCTGTGTGTGTACCCTAATTTAGGGTTTAAGACCCTAAACTCTAAAGACTCTAAACCCTAAATCCTAAACCCTAAACCCTGTCTCCGTGTTTATGTGTGTCCAGGTTACCCACTAATGCTCTTCATCATTCCCTTCTTCTTATGGGTCAGGTTGCCCTGTGACATCCCCTTTACGCACAGCAAAATGTCCCTAAACCCCAAAACCCCAAACCCCAAACCCTCAACCCCAAACCCTAAACCCTATAAGCCTCTTGGGTTCCTGGGCCACCTCTTTCTGCACAAGCTTGCGCAAGATGCCGCAAGCGAGTTCGCGTATTCTTCGGGTAGTTCTGGAATGTCTGAGTTCCAACTCCCTTCCTACATGGGGTCTAGGGCTTAAGGTGTTTAGGGCTTAAGGTGTTTAGGGTTTAGGGTTTAGGGTTGAGGGTTTAGGGTTTAGGGTTCAGGAGCCTTGCACAGCCCATCCACATGAGATCAGCCACGCTTGCTGAGTCGCGTGCGGCATCACGTCTATCGCGCCATCATGGGCGAGAAGGACTTGCATTGAATAGGATCGCATGCCCTAAGCCATAAATCCTAAACCCTAAACCCAATTATAAACCCTGACCCCCCACCCCCCGGAAAGCACACAGAAGAAGGGACTCTTAAGCGACCATCCGAGGACATCATGACACATTAAGGCTCCCGAAAAGGCATTCTGCTGCCCTTGGGACTCAATCTGATGGGTTCTTTTTGCTTGAGGCGTCTCCCTTGCTATTCCTGCGACGCGTGCCTGAATACCCTAAACCCTAAACCCTAAACCCTAAACCCTAAACCCTAAACCCTAAACCCTAAACCCTAAACCCTAAACCCTAAACCCTGGTGGGCCAATCTTCGGCGCAGGCACTGTGAGGTGCAGGGCCTAGGGGCTTTTGCACGGCACTCCTGGGGTTACTCCCCCGTTTCAGGGTACGTACATAAGGGTTTAGGGTTTAGGGTTTGGGGTTTAGGGTTTGGGGTTTTAGGGTTTAGGGGTTTAGGGTTTAGGGTTTGGGGTTTTAGGGTTTAGGGTTTAGGGTTGGGGGTTTGGCGTTTAGGGTTTAGGATAAGTCCCCTGCATGATAATCAAGAATGTTCTTCCTTATAAGGGCAATTTGGGGATTAGCCTCTTCTATTTGGGGGGGGGAGTTCTTAAGCAAATACTAGATAAGGTACAAGGTGTGCAGGATCTGGGGTTCAAGGGCTGATAGAGGGTGACCTACCCTCTTATGCGTAGGGTTTAGGGTTTGGGGCTGACCACTCCCCTTCTTCACCGGGCATATCTATATATAAAAAATATATGCACATGATTTTTATGTGTATGTATACACTTATTCATATTATTCATTTCATGATTATTTACAACGTGTCAGGTGGGAAGGCGGCCACCCTGGGAACTCCCTGCTTGAATCGTGATGCTCTGAGACCCTGTAAACGGGGGTTTAGGGTTTAGGGTTTAGGGTTTAGGGTTTAGGGACCAAAAAGGGTTTAGGGTTTTGGGGGCAAGAACCCTGGTTTCTCGCATCTTGACTGCCTGGCTTGCCAGGACGTTCGCCGCGTCTGCACGCCCAAGTTGATCGAGGCGATTCAGTTTCCCTAAGCAGAAGCTCCAGAAGGGACTTCCTCAAATTGCTCATCCATCTCATCAGGGAAGTTCGCCTGGAAAACTGCCCACAGGCATCCCTTCCGCAAGCCGAAGCCTGCCAAATCTAGGCTGTTTCAGCTCCTCACGCAGGAACCTGAATTTCAACATGGCTCAAAGAGGTTGTGTTATAGCCTACAAATATATATATATATATATATATATATATAATATCGATTTATTTATTTATAAACTATTTATTTATTTATTCATACTTTCAGCTGTTCTGTTTGCAGGAAATCATGAAGGATTTGGACGTGAGCCCGTCGGATGAGCCTTACCTGATTCGGAGGAATTCCCCCCCCCCACCCCCCCACTACCCCTCCAGTTTTAGGGTTTAGTGTTTAGGGTTCAGTGGGAACACGACAGGCGAATTTGGGTTCAAGGCTTAGGGGGTGTAGCATCCAGGGAATTGGAGGGTTAAGAACAAGGAGCCTGAAACCCTAAACCCCAAACCCTAAAGCCTGAAGTCTTACACAGGGCTTAGTTCTGAGGAGCACTCGGGGCACAAAGAGCCTCTAAACATCTCTAAGCCCCTGTAACTTGGCAGCCCAGTGGTACCCTTTTGCCCTTTTTTCTGTTGGTTGAAGGTTCCTTAATGCAGCAGCCCAGAAAAGGGTGGCCCGATTGTAGTACCCTTACTGGGCTACCAAGAGAAGTCCTAAACCCTAAACTCCAGCGAAAACAGATGCCGCGGCAGACGCGAGATCTAGATGAACCTGGAGTATCCTTGTAGATTGGAGCTCCCCAAGCGTAGAGCATTTCTTTGCCAGCGCTGTGCTGTAAGTGTTCCAAGCGTTGAAAGAAATCGGATGTGCTTCATCAGTGATCTGATAGATAGGGCAACAACTGGTTACAACCTCATTCAGGGTACTTTCTTTCTTCTACTTGTACTCGTACCCTAATGAACCTTCAAATAGACAACCCTAAACCCTAAACTCCACGAACAGCGCTGGCAAGGCAGGAGGGTTCTTGATCCTCCACATGCCTGGCCTCACTTCGAACATCGGAAAGACCCCCTCCCTAAACCTTCCTAATAATCATGCACTCCCCAAAGGGCCCCTAAACCCTAAACCTTAAACCCTAAACCCTAAACCCTAAACCCAAAACACCACTTGAGGGAGGCAGCCCTGGCACACCTTGCTTGTAGGTTCATGGGCGGGGTACACCACTTCTAGGGTTTAGGGTTTAGGGTGGGCCCTTGGGGGGGGTCTATGGTTATTAGGGGTTGCTGGGGTTCATACAGGGTTTCCGGTTTGGGGTTTGAAACTCAAATTGTTTACTTAGTAGTAGAGTAGGTAACCTGTTAACAATTTTGGGTATTCTAGTCCATATAGCTCAACGGTTAACCGTTAGTTCCCCTAGGACACTGGACAACTAAGCGTAGGGATGTTTGACGTTTAGGGTTTCGGGTTTAGGGTTTTGAGGCTTAGGGTTTATATCGGGATTCGGGTTGAGGGTTTGGGGTTTTGGGTTTAGGGTTTAGGGTGTGTAGGCTCAGATCGCCTGTTGGGCGTGTTTGGTCGGTGCTCCTTTGTTTTCTCTTGGCACTTGCTACCAGCCGGACCCTTCTCGGGGGTCCTAAACCCTAAGCCCTAAACCCTAAACCCTAATTTTAAAGTTAGTGCTTAAAGGCTCTTGAGGCTTAGGATTGTTTAGCCCTTCTGCGTGTGGCATTGTGTCTGTGTGTCTGTCGCAGGATCAAGACATCTGTCGAGGATGCCTACTTCAGGCTGGTGTAGGATTTCGGGTTTAGGCTTTAGGGTTTAGGGTTGCTCTATCGAAGCCCGCTCCGAATCATAGGGGATCCTGGTACGCTGGTTGGTGAGCTTTTGGCTTGTTCTGACCGTCAACTTAACATAGACCTTCTCGCATTGCACGGCGACTTCGCCAGTCAAAGCAGCTCCTCACTTCATGATGATATCACCAGCTTCTAAGATAGGGTCCACTGTGACAGGTACCCTTTCGAATCGGATCCCTTACAATGTCCCCAACAAATTGCAGTGCCTTGAGTGTGGCAACATCCTCAACAGATGACCCCGAAACCCAAAACATCCCAAAACCATAGTATGCCTTCTGTAAGTTATCAGCGACGCACAGATCTAAGCCAGGTTATCCGAAGCCCTAACCCTCGTTACGTATTATTCAGGGCTTATTGAATTTAGACCTTACACCCCCTTCCCCTACACCCCCCCTCCCCCCCCAGTAAGCCCTAAACACTAAACCCTAAACCCTAAACGCTAAACCCCTAAACCCTAAACCCCCATGTTTCTCATGAGAACCCCATCCCTGAATGCAGGTACAAACGGACTGGCAAGTTCCAAACCACCATCGAGGCATCCCCGGTCTGGTTGCGCGAGCACTTTTTACTCGTGGGAGTTTGGGACGTTGCTTCGTTGAGGGCCTTGGGATCCAGGGTGGACGTGGGGAGGTCTGACTTGGATTATAAGGTAGGGTTTCTCGAATTGAGTTTAGATGGCTGTGACCAAGTTTGGTGGGGATGGGGCCTAAGCCTAGTGTAGCAAGGTACCCTCTACTTGTACCTGCCCCGGAACTTTTTTTAAGCAGGGAACAGGACGCCCAGTTTCTCCGAGTGCTTTCGGATCCCGCAGCCACATAAACCCTGCTTGGAGGTTCATTCAGGTACTTGTGAGCAGGGGTTTAGGCTTAGGGCTTGGGTTTTAGGGCGTAGAGCATAGGGGTACGGACGATTAGGGCGAGGGAGGGTACCTATGGTTATTACCTTATTTAGGGTGATCGTAGCCCTACGTATAAGTGCCCCATGAACCTTGAAGTACCCCTGCTGCTCTCAGCTTCGAGGGGTGAGGGTTGGGAGTTTAGGGGTTTTGGGGTCTAATGCCAAAACCTTAAATCCTAACCCAAAACCCTAAGCCCTAAACCCTGTTTGGGGTTTCTGGAGGGCCTACGAACCCAAGCACCCAAACCCGCCCTTCAAGACAGCGGAGTTGCTGCACCTGCGATTTTTCCCTAGAAACTCTAAACTCTAAACCCTACAAACCCTATGAAACCGAAGAACCCGATGATCTCTAATTATAAGTCCGACAAACCCTATAAACCATATACATCCGAAGCCCCCAACCCCAGAATGAGCTGACCCTAAACCCTAAACCCTATAAACCCTGAATCCTATAAGCCGTATAAACCCTAAATTCTAGAAACCCCTAAACCCCATAAAGTCCGATAAACCCCTAAACCCCTAAACCCTACAAACCCCTAAACCCTACAAACCTCTAAACCCTATAAACCCTAAATCCTAGAACCCCCTAAACCCTATAAAGCCCGATAAACCCTTTAAACCCCGAGCTGAACGCAGAACTGCGTGGACGTGGAGTCCCTGGTGGTCAACCTAGAGCTGGATCGCGTACCTTGGTAGCCCAGTGGTACCCTTCTTTTTGCCACCTCTTTTTGGGCTCTAGGTTTAGGGTTTAGGCGTTTAGGGTTTAGGGTTTAGGGTTTAGGGTTTAGGGTTTAGGGCCCCTTTTTAGCAATGTGATTGCTGGGTTACCAAGGTTGGCTTCATGAAGAAGATCTCCCCGTCAGGCCTTCAGTTGAAGAGCAGTGCCCGGGTTTCTTTACTAGGGTTTCAGGAGCAGGTTAGGGTTTAGGGTTTGGGTTTAGGGTTTGGGGTTTAGGGTTTAGGGTTCGGGGTTAGGGTTTAGGGTTTAGGGTTTGGGGTTTGGGGTTTGGGGTTTGGGGTTTGGGGTTTACAGTTCAGGGGCTGGAGGGTTTAGGGGTTGGTGAAGATGGGTATTCAGGACGCCCGACCAATCCTGACTGCTGCTGCTCCACAGCGAAGGGAACATGTATTTCGGAGTGCTCATTGAGAAGTGCCTGTGTGTACACATCGGAGCCCAGTACCACAAGTGTACACATCGTAGCTATGCTTACGTGCACATCTGCACGCTTACAGCTCACGCCGAGGACATGGTTTTCAGGCCCAGCCATACCCCGACCCACACTCAACAGGGGGCGGGTGTTGCAAGTTTGCTCGCAAGTCCGAGCTACGCTGAGCTATTCTCGGCGCTTTCCTTGTGAGGTCTGAAATGCATCCCAGAACCTCCCTCGGAGCCCAGATGATGCTACCCTAAACCCTAAACCCTAAACCCCAAACCCCAAACCCCAAACCCCAAACCCCAAACCCTAAACCCTAAACCCTAAACCCCTGGCGGAGGACTTCTTTACTGCGTGGAGTGCCAAACCTCCCTCGGGGATGCTCGGGGGCTCAGTCTCTCTGAGACTTGTGATGGTGCTTACGTTCAAAGGCAATCATCCGGGTTTAGGGTTTCGGGTTGAGGCTTTGGGGTTTAGGGTGTGTTTCTGAAGTGTGGCCAGGAATGCTTTGCAGCGCGATGTGTGTGTATGTGTCTGAGATGCAATGCTATGACACTTTGGAGCTAGATTTGGTTTTTGGTGGCTGAGGGCCGGCGTCCTCCTTTTGAGGAGCTTGCCAGTCCTCACCATACGCGTGCATGCACCCTCCCTAAACCCGAAACCCTAAACTCTAGGAAACTTCGCCTTGTCTCACGGGCTCGGTGACAAAGAATGGGGGCCTCCTTTCAGGGTTTAGGGTTTAGGATTTAGGGTTTAGGGCTTAGGGCTTAGGGGTTAGGGGTTAGTACCTAATTACTATATTGTGTACATATTTTTTTGGGGGGATTCCTGTTTGCAGCTTAGGTCTTTTCAGCGCCTGTCGTAGATGTTAAGACAGCCTCGTGAGGTGATCTCTGCCGGCTGCCACGACGTCCTGTGCAACCAGTGCGCTGTTGAGACGCACAGCACTGGGAACCGGCAGGACCCTGCATGGGCGGTTATACCCTGTGAGCCCTTAAGAGGCCCTTTATGGGGTGGTTACAGCCTATGAGCCCTTAAGAGGCCCTTATAGGATTGTTATACCCTATGGGCCCTTAAAAGGCAATTTATAGGGTTGGTTAGGGAGATTATCCCACCCCCCCCCCCCCCCCCCACCCATTTTCGTGGTACGAAGGAATCAGCACGCATCGAGGAGCCCTGAAAACCCTAAACCCTAAACCCCAAAACCTAAACCCCAAACCCTAAACCCTAAACCCTTCAGTGGCCATGGCCAGGATGCTCCGCTGGTCTTCATCGAGCAGGCAGTCTGCGCCGAGTGTACAACCAAGGCCTGATTATCCCCACCAACTGCTTAAGATAGGGTGTAGGGTTTAGGGTTTACGGTTTAGGGTTTGCGGTTTAGGGTTAAGAATCCTCAAATAGCGAAAACATACTCTTCCTCAGAGCGGCATTATAGGGATTATTGTCCGATGGTGCCTCACGGCAGTGAAAAAGGGACTGTTGTTTTAATTTGTTGGTGGTTCTTCAGCAAATAGTAGTTCTTTGATCTGGTTGCAGCGTGGGTTTAGGGGTTAGTTAGGGTTCATGGTTTGGGGTCTAGGGTTTAGGGTGTAGGGTTAGAGGTTTAGGGTTAAGGGTTTCATTCAAACCTCATAAACTCCCTAAACCCCAAGGCCCAAACCCTACATGCCCCCCTAAACCCTAAACCCTAAACCCTAAACCCTAAACCCTGCTCCCGCGGCTGTGCTCTCGCAGTCCGCTCTGGTGCGCTGCCAAGACTGCGTGGAGCTCTTCTGCTACGCGACTTGCCTGTTCTGGGTGCTGAGTCTATGGGTTTAGGGTTTAGGGTTCAGGGTTTAGGGTTTAGGGTTTAGGGCTTAGGGCTTAGGGTTTTTTGGATTTTGGGGTGGGGGTCAGGGGTTGAGGAGCTCATATACCCTCAAAAAACGGGGAAATGTACTGGAGTTGTGAATTGCTGGCACATTTTCCCCCCTTCTCTAGCTGAAGGCATGTCGGGGGTGCTCTAGGTAGGGAATCAGGCCATGTGCGGTCGGACGTCGCAGTACGCCAGGATGAAAGTGAAGCCGTGTTGGGACAATCATGTCGTCATGTGCTTCACGGGTTCAATCAGTTCTCAAGATGAAACGCTAAACCCTAAACCCTAAACCCCAAACCCCTTTTGTTGGGTTGCTACGTATAAGGCGGCCCTTCTAGGGTGAGACCAAAAAGGGACGATAATTTTGAGAGCTCACCAAACCCTAAACCCTAAACCCTAAACCTTAACCCTAAACCCTGTAATTAGAGGCCAGCTTGGCAGAAGCACATCTTTTGGATATGGGGGGCTTCCAAGAACCTTGAGCCCCTCTACTCTGGCCAGTCCGAAATGCCAGGATTCTGGTATTTGACACTGTTTGGGTGCAGGGTTTTTTAGGGTTAGGTTTAGGGTTTAGGGTTTAGGGTGTAGGTTTAGGGTTTAGGGTTTAGGGTTTAGGGTTTAGGGTTTAGGGTTTAAGGACATGCTTCTATCAACAAGTACATAGGCTCAGACAGCCATACTCCTCGCGGCATCGTGCCATACTCAACCCCAGAGAAAAGCTCACTGCCCCACAGACTTGGAGACCTAAACCCTAAACCCTAAGCCCTAACCCCTAAACCCTAAACCCTAAACCCTAAACCCTAAATCCCAACCCTCCAGCTCCGCAACCAAAACTCCGCAAGGACTGCTTCAAGCTGACTCATGCTGCCGGGTGGCGCCCTTGTGGGTGTTTGTGGGTGTTGCCCTCCTAATTGATAGGGTTTGGGGTTTAGGGTTTCGGGTTTCGGGTTAGGGTTTAGGTACTCATATCTAAGGGTAGTTTCATGGGTCCTTCATGAGGACCCCTACCCGGCCCCTACCCTCTTTGAAGGGCTCTGATGTATGGGCCCTTGGGTTGTGTAGGGTATATAGGGGGTATAGCCGGGATCCCCTTTTTGAGGGCCCATGTTAAGGGACCATGCAACTTCCCTAGATTATGAGCTTATATTCTAGGGACTTGAGGAACTGAGGGTCTAGGGTTTAGGGTTTAGGGTTTAGGATATATATATATATATGCTATAGGTACTACCCTAAACCCTAAACCCTAAACCCTAAACCCTAAACCCTAAACCCTAAACCCTAAACCCTAAACCCTAAACCCTAAACCCTACATGATGGTAGAACTATCGAGTTTGGAGGGTTTGTCAGCTCGGAGGCATGTCAGGTTTCAGCTCCGGGTTGCAGGCTGGGCTTCATCGAGCTTAGCCGGCTGTCTGGTTCCATACCATGGGGTTGATAAAGGGTTTAGGGTTTAGGGTTTCGGGTTTAGGGTTTAGGGTTTCGGGTTTAGGGTTCCGGGTTTAGGGTTCCGGGTTTAGGGTTTTAGGCTTAAGGTTTCGGGTTTTTAAGGGTTTCGGGTTTAGGCATCAGGGCTCGTCTACGACTTGCGCAACCGCAACGGCAGGAAGCGCAAGCGCCATTGTGTCGGCCTTCCTCAGAGGACCTTCTGCTTCGAGTGCGACACGCGAGAGGCGGGTTTGGATAACTCCGCTCCTCGGAGGATCATGTACAATTCAAATGCATGTGGGAGTTTTCGAAAGTAAGGGACCCAAGTCTAGACCCCCAAATAGTATATATAGGATTCCCCTGAAAATAAGGACCCCCAAGTATCAGTATGATTGTGGGAATCTAGGTAGTGGCTACTGCGGTTCCTCGACTAGAAAAATAGGTACCCGCAATGGACCCATGGATTGCGCATCAATCTGTGCTCCTTGGCTCAACTGAAAGAGGCCCATCCGAAGGCAGTTTGCTGACAACTCATGACTTCTCGAAGCGAGCTTGTGCCAGTTCCCATGTTTGCTCATGTTGCAGGAAGCTAGCATTCAGAGGTCGTGCAAACAGCTAGGTTCCTTTTGTCCTTAATTAAGCTGGGTGGCTGCTGAAACAAAGCGCGGCGAAGCCTCCCACAGCAACATGGCGGCGGATCAGGCAGGACAAAATCCCAACGGCGCAAGTGCGCAGGCTGTGAGCAGGGAGAAGATTCTGCACGCACTCGCCTCTCTCATGGCCAACAAGGATGCAGCCTATGTGGCAGGTGTGCGCAACCGTGCCGCGAAGGGCAACTTGCAGATCAAAGGCCAGAGCATCACCGAGGAGATCGTGGATGAGGCTCTCACCCGACTGCCCCTTAGTAGTAGAGTAGGTAACCTTTAACCTTTTTGGGTTTCTACATTCCCCTTATAATCCCTTAAAGGTTAACCTTATTAAAACCCCTAGGTTTCTTGACAACTAAGGCCCAAGGCCGAGGAGAAGACGAAGCCTTTGGAGCCTCCGGCCGCGGTTGGTGCTCGTTGGACCCCTTCCTCGGCCTCCATCGCCTCAATCGTGAGCAAGGCCCTGATGGAGCCTTGGGGACCAAAAGTAAACCCTAAAAACTGGGGTGCTATAGCTTATACTACAAAAATTCCTATGAAGGTAATATGAACCATATAACCCCCTATACCTTCCTTATACTACCATAATTCCTATTGTAAGGCAATATGAGATAAACCCTTTTAGGGTTCATTCCGTCCCCAAGGAGTGTGAGGATGCCGAGCAGTACATGGAGCGCGTCCGGGTCGTTGGGGATGCCAAGGTGGCCGTCCTGCCAAAGCCAGATGTGAACACCACGCCCACTGGGGAATTCCTCTGTTCCGCCGTCGTAGAGTTTGAGAACCTTTTGGTACCTATTGTTGGGGTGTTCGTAATTCCTAGCTAATCCCAAAAAGGTTCACCTCTAGTTCCCCAGTTCAAAATACTGCAAACAACCTCACCCTAAACCCTAAACCCTAAACCCTAGGTTCAGAGGAGTGGGCGGATACCGTGGCACGGATGGTGAACCGCAAGGACGGCCGTGTCTACGTGCGACTGCGCAACTTCAGCGGCTGGGTGTCCTCACGGTCCCGAAACTTGGTAGCCCAGAGGTACCCCTTTTCCCTTTTTTTTGTTCAAGGTTCCCTTAGAAATTGGGTTTAGGGTTTAGGGTTTAGGTTTTAGGGTTTAGGGTTTAGGGTATCTTTGTAGCCCAGTGGTAGCCTGTTGCCCTTTTTCGGGGTTCAAGGTTCCCTTATAAATTAGGCAACCCGAAAAAGGGTGCCCATTGGTTACTGGGGTACCAAGGAAACGACTACAACAAGGTCGTGCTGGATGTCGAGGAAGGGAAGCCTGGGCCTTTTTGTAGGGATCGTTTGCTTGTTTTGTTTTCTTCCTTTTTTGTTTTTTTCTATTTCTCTTTATTGGGTTTAAGAGGGTAACATTGGGATGTTCCCCCTTATATGAGCCCTTACTAGGGATTATAGTAGGGCGTACTAGAATCCCAATCAAGGACTGTTGGTATAAGGGGAACATCCCAAGGGTAATACATTCAGAACATTTTTCTCAGAGGGTCTGAACCCCCCCCCAAAATAAGAATAAAAATAATCCCTATATTACCCTTATAAGGAAGAATAGGTTTTTCTTTTTTGAGGGTTCTTAACCCTAAAACCTAAACTCTAAACCCTATTTTGGTAGTTTAGGCGGGGCTAAACCCTAAACCCTAAATCCTAAATAAACCCCAAACCTAAACCCTAAACCCTAAACCCTAAACCCTAAACCCTAAACCCTAAACCCTAAACCCTAAACCCTAAACCCTAAACCCTAAACTCTAAACCCTAAACCCTAAACCCTAAACCCTAAACCCTAAACCCAACCGAGGAAACCTTCGCTGGAGCCGGGCACGGCCCAGGTCATCGCCATGAGCCGGGCCATGCGATTGCTTCCGCACATGACGCAGGAGGGCTGCTAGGCAGGACGTTGTAACGGGGCCGGCCATTTCTATATTCTGGTTTAGGGTTTAGGGTTTAGGGTTTAGGGTTTAGGGTTTAGGGTTTAGGGTTTAGGGTTTAGGGTAGGCCTTTGGGATGTTTGTTTTTGTGTTTCCCTTACTGGCGGTAGGAGGATCACACATTGTGAATATTTGTTAGAGGGTTTGAATAGCCAACCTAGGCTACCAGATCTCCAATGCCAGCGGCACGAAGGTGCGCCGCTTCCGCACCACCGTCATCACGCCGAAGCTTCGTCCGACTTAGGGTTTAGGGGTTGAGGGGTTGAGGGGTTTAGGGGTTGAGGGGTTGAGGGGTTGAGGGGTTGAGGGGTTGAGGGGTTGAGGGGTTTAGGGGTTTAGGGGTTTAGGGGTTTAGGGTTAAGGGGTTGTCGACAAGTCAGCCTGGTAATGACGCAGTTGTGTATGACAAAATGCATATGTCCCCAGACATGCACATCTTTAATACTTTCAATTGCATCCCATTTAACGTGCCCCCGCTGAAGTACTATCGTTTTGCCGGATTTCCCATAGTAGTATAGTAGCTGGGTCTCATGAGACTCAGCCCTCACCAAACTCTGTGGTGCTTTACTGCAACTTTAGATCCTTAGCCTTTTTGGGGCTTTTGGGTTTCTGAATAAGGCAGAAAAGTTGTTCAGGGTTTAGGGTTTAGGGTTTAGTGTTTAGGGTTTAGGGTTTAGGGTTTAGGGTTATAGCTACCCTGCTAAGTGCAGCCAAGGATCCTACAGACTGCAGACTGCTCCCGCCTGAGCCTGCGGGTGTCCGGGTCTGGGGTGTAGGCCGGGCCTAGAAGGGAGACCCTAACCCTAAACCCTAAACTCTAAACCCTAAACCCTAAACCCTAAACCCTAAACGGCCCTAAACCCTAAACCCTAAACCCTAAACCGGGCTTAGAGTTTTAAGGCGCCCTTGAGCAAGATAGTCCTTCACACCAGTAAGGAGGTGCATTCACGGTACAGCGGCAGAGCCGCAGGTGGCCTGAACCCTACTGAACCCTAAACCCTAAACCCTAAACCCTAAACCCTAAACCCTAAACCCTAGACCCTAAACCCTAAACCCTAAACGGCCCTAAACCCTAAACCCTAAACCCTAAACTCTAAACCCTAAACGGCCCTAAACCCTAAACCCTAAACCCTAAACCCTAAACCCTAAACCCTAAACCCTAAACCCTAAACCCTAAACCCTAAACCTAAACCCTAAACCCTAAACCCTAAAGCCTAAACGTTCTGGTGTGCTGAAGGACTCAACAGCAGACCCGGGACATTGCATTCGCCCGTGGTCATCTTTGGGAAAGCCATTGTAAAACTTGATCGGAGCTGCCGAGGCAACGCCACGAATGTTGCAAAGCTTCAGGCAAAGGAGGAGCCGCCGTTCGGGTTGAGGGTTGAGGGTTAGGGTTGAGGGTTTAGGGTTTAGGCTTTGAGAATTCTTGGAGGTGAGAGCTCAATGAGGTTCATGGGTACGTCGTATGTAGGATTGGAAGGAGGGAACTATGTTTATACACGTCTTTTAAGGGACCACCCTACTTATAAGTAACACATGAACCTTGAAGCATGCTTTCGCGAGAAGCTTCGATCACTGGCTTGCTGCTGGGGAATGTAGCGTAGCAGGTTTTTTGATAGCAAGCAATACAGTATTTTGTGTGATGGGTGCTCCACTTAAGTTCCTCAACCAGAAGACCTCGATCATGCGTGATCATGATGACATCATTCTCTGGAAGGTCCAAGAATGAGAGATTGAACCCTAAACCCTAAACTGGGGGGTAAACCCTAAACCCTAAACCCTAAACCCTAAACCCTAAACCCCAAATCCTAAACCCTAAACCCTAAACCCTTCCGATCTGCGGATCTGGCGCTATGAAATGACTGCAGAGTTGGGCCTCCCAAGCCGTTTTTCCAGGCTGAGAGACAAGATCTGCCAAAACCAGGCGGAATACAGCCAGCGATTACAAAGAATGCTTTGTAATTAGTGTATCAATATATGGATATATATATATATACATATATATATATATATGTATATATATTGTTCTGAATTCTTCGATATATATATATATATGTTTATACACACATGTAAATGCATAGACACGCCCTATATCACCCCCTCCCCCGCCATCTGATGAAGCCCCTTGTCCAACCGGATGAAAAGTCCGTGGCCCGCTGTTTTCTTTGGGCCTGCGGACCTAAACCCTCAGCCTCATCCGAAGGGTTTAGGGTTTAGGATTCAGGGTTTAGGATTTAGGGTTTAGGAGCGAGGGTTTGGGATTCCGGATTTAGGGTTTCTAGGGCTTAGGGCCCTCAGCCTCAAAACCCTGAAGGCCCGAAACCCTTGAACGCGCGGCGCGCGGGCGCGCGCGCGCGCGCGCGCGCGAGGAGTTTCTTGCCGATGGCGCCTTCCTCCGGGCTTCCGATGGCCGAGCCTACCTCCACCTCAAGGAGCACAACTTGTTGCCAGCCTCGCGAACTTAGGCTTTAGGGTTTAGAGGTTTGTGTAGGATAAGTTTTCTACTGTTTGCTTAAGAACACCGCCCTAAAAATGAAAGAACAACAAATCCGGATAAGGGTACTATAGGGATTATTATCTTCTAGTTTTTTGGGTTCTTAAGCAAATAGTAGATCTCCCTTTTCGGGTCGTTTTTGTAGTCCTTCGGCCCCCCCGTAGATGCTTCCATGAGCACATTCTTACATTCCATATGTGTACTAGGGCCCAGAGCGGGCCCCTAAACCCTAAACCCTAAACCCTGGGCCCCTGGTTCCCCTCTTCGCTTGGGTTCCCTTCGAAGTCGCCCCTGTAACACCAAGAGAGGCAAGGTGCCTGGGATTCCCAGGTTCCTCTGGGTCTAGTCTTTTTTACGCACAACTTTACATTCCTGTGTATGCATGTGTGTATATATATATATTAATATATATATATGTATATGTATATATGTATATATGTATATGTATATGTTTAGGTATGTATATATATATATATGTGGCCGAGACCTTTAGGGTCTATTTCACGGCTGGTTCTTCTTTCAGTAGTAGTGCAATAATAATAATAATTTTAATATTATTATGAGTATAATAATACTGACCGTAATTGTAATAGGAATAATAATAGTACTAGTAATAGTAATAGGAATAGGAATAGTAATAATACTAGTAATAGTATTAGTAGTAGTAACAGTAATAGTGAAGGTTTGGTCTGTGTGTGCACCGGCGCCAGCAAGTGCAGCCATGTAGCTCTAGCACACTTTGAAGTAAGAGATAGACAAGTTGTTTCATAGCCTGAAGAGGGGCGAAGGGCTCTCTCATTTCCGATTACGAGGTAGAGGTGAGCTATCTCATTTCTTAGAAACATAGAGGAGATCTCATTTCCACGACAGAGACATCTTTCACTCAGGAGAGAACGCAAGGTGTTTCATTTCCAAGAAAATAGAGGAGCTCTATCATGTCGCATTAGAAGTGAGAAGCTCTGCACTAAAGATAGAAGGCATCGATTCGTTTCCCTTTTTCTTTTGCTTATCAAAGGGTCTTTTCATTTCGAACACAGGATTTCTTTCATGCCCTATAAGAAGGATCGAGGAGCTCTTTCATCTGAGAGATAGAAGAACGCATTCATGAAGTATACACGAGCTCATTTCTCGTCAAGAGGCAGAGGCGTGCCCAGCTCTACCATTACCTAACTCTTACGTGAAATTTCTCTATCTCGCAATAGGTCATGAGAGACCTCCTTTTTCACGCTGCAGGAAATGAGAGAGTTCTCTTCTATGTCGATTTTCAGAAATAGCTTCGCAGCTTCTCTATCAATGAAGAGTTTTGAAGGCCACTCTGGGCCATTCTCTGTCCATCAAATGGGACATGACATAACGCATCACTCGCTATCGTTTACGTGATAGAGTTTCGCTATCTCTGAATAGGTCATCTGAAAGCTCCTCTGTATCTTTGCAGCAAGTGAAGGAGCTCCTTGCCTCTTCTGCAAGAGCCCTCCGCTTCCTATTTTGCAATGAGCAAGCTCTTTTATCTCCTCTGGTTCCTAATAGGTCATGAGCGGGCTTCCCTCTCTCCTTCTCTTTTAGGGGATAGAGGAGGTTTTTTCATGTTGCGTTAACAGCTAGAGGACATCATTTATATCCATTCTGTCATTTCGTATGAGAAGATACAGGAGCTCATTCATCTCCTAGTCAGAGATTGAAGAACTCGTTCACAAGAGATATAGATATAAGAAATCTCTCATACAATGTATAAGAGCTCTCTCATGTCCTACCTAGTTCATTTGCCGTCACCAGCGCTCAGCTCTACCATTTCGTATCTTTTATATGACATAGCTTCTCTATCTCGCAATAGGTCATGAGAGACCTCCTCTTTCTTTTGCAGGAAATGAGAGAGGTCTCTATCTACCTTTTGTGAAAGAGCTCCCTTTGTTCAATCACAAGAACTCATTCATAGAAGCTGTAAGAGCTCTCGAATGTACTTTCTTGTTAATTTCCCGTCGATAGGTAGAGGAGCTCACAGCTCTACCACATCCTACCCTTTACATGGAAGAGGCTCCTCTATCTCGTAGCGGGTCAAGAAAGATTGTCTCTATCTCTTTGCAGAACATTAGAGAGTCCTCTACCTACCTCTTGTGAAAGAGCTCCTTCACCTCAAAATCAAATGCCACAACTCGTCTATCTTTCACTGGGACATGAGACAGCTCCATTGTGAATTTCTATTCAGAAATAGCTGCTTCTCTATCGATGAAGAAATCATGCGAGTAGCCGTTTATCGATGCATAAGAAATGACATAGCTCTTCTACCTTTTTGCGACAGATCTCTTCTTTACCCGAAATGAAAGTTTGGAAGGCCATTCTCTATCCCTTGAATGGGGACACAACTCATCAGTCTCTATCGTTTACGTGAGAGAGTTTCGCTATCTCTGAACAGGTCATCTGAAAGCTCCTTTGTGTCTGCGCAGCAAGTGAAGGAGCTGCTTGCCTCTTCTGCAATAGCTCCTCCGCTTCCTATTTTGCAATGAGCAACCTCTTCTATCTCCTTTGGTTCCTATTTCTCGTTTGCCATCACTAGGCAGAGGAGCTCTCAGCTCTACCATGACCTATCTTTTACATGAAAGAGGCTTCTCTATCTCGTAACGGTTCATGGAGTCATGACAGATCTTCTCTATCTCTTTGCAAGAAAAGAGAGAGTGCTCTACCTACCTCGTGTGAAAGAGCTCCTCCACCTTGTGATCGAGAGTGACAGAACTCGTCTATCTTTCAATGGTGCA